ATGGAAGTCTCCCAACTCCCTCTAGGAATGATCCCTGAGTGCAAAGCCTGGAATAAGCACTGAGCACAAAGAACTCTTTTCCCAAAAACAACGGCAACAACAACAGTTTTTTTATTCTTTTATTTCTGGGGACTAATTCTGTACGGGGTCATTCCTGGAGGTACTAAGGAGACTGTGATGCTGGGGATCAATCTAGTATTGGCTTTGTGCAAGGCAAGCACCTTAACCCCTCCATATTAGCTCTCTACCTAAATCCCCTTTTTAAATTGTGGAGACCATACTTAGTGGTGCTGAGGAATCATGCTGATGTTGAGCCTTGCACATCACAGGTGTGTACTCTTACCACTTGAGTCACATTCTTTAGCCCTGAACTCTTTAGCTGGATTATTTTCTTCACTTGTATCATTTGTCATCCCATTGATCAGCGATTTGCTCTTAAGGGCACCATTTTAACATCTCTGTTTGTCCCTGTTGTGTGCTAGTGTAGCCTAATGGTATCTGCTTGCTCCAGAAACACGAAGAGTCTCAAACTGTTTGTTCAGGGTTTTGACACAGAAGCCTGACCATCTCATAGGTGGGTGGCCATGCATTCTTTTGACATCCCATGGAATCCAGTCAGTAACAGCTCTAGTCCAGTGATTGTCTCTAAATCGCATTACCTGTCCGGCCCATCTGATTTTCAATGCCTTGGCAAACAAGACAGCGTCCCTGATTCTTGGTCGTCAGTGGAGGTTGGAATTCCGGATTCCTTCTCTCACTTTAGTGAAACATGATATTCCAAGCATAGCTCTTTTGATTCTTCTTTGGGATAGCGTTCTCATCCTGTTTTCTTAGGGCCAAGATCTCTGAGGCATATATTAATGCAGGAAGAATGGTGGAGTCGAAAAGATGTGCCTGGAGCCGGAGGTTTTTCGTCCTCTTAACCACTTCTTTGACACTCTTAAAGGCGTTTCACGCTGCTCTCTTCCTCCTGTGCAGTTCAGGTGCCAGGTCATTTGTCATGTTGAGTTCTCAACCTACATACACAGAACTGCTGCATTCGGAGATATTTGTTCCATTGAGGGCAAATGGAACATCAGGAACTAGTCCGTTTCTCATGAATACTGTCTTTGTGAGATTCAGCTGCAGTCCAATCTTTACACACTCATGGTCAAAGTTGGCCAACATTTGTGCCGCTTGGCTGATATTTGGTGTTATTAGAACGATGTCATCAGCAAAGCGGAGGTGGTGTAGTTGCCGATCCTCTATGTTCACTCCCATTCTTTCCCATTCCAGTCATTGTATGATGTTCTCGAGGGTGGCACCGAAGAGTTTTTAACCCCTCTCATTACGTTGATGATCACTTCTTTGTAAAATGTGTAACAAACGAAGATTATTTTCTTAACAGTTGTTTTTCAAAATATTAAGTGAATGCTTGGTAGCAAGCAACTGGGTTTGATTGTAGAAAAGCAAGGCTGGGAGGAACACCTCAAGTGTGTGCTTTGGGTGAGGGAGGCTCACATTCGATCTCCTGTACCACATGGTTCCGCGAGCACCACTGGAGTAGTCCCATGGAACTACATGGGATGCCCCAAAAAAAACAGAAAGGAAAAGCAGTAAATAATTGACTCTATCTTCAACCTGCTCATGTTTTCATTCATGAGACTTTAAATAGGAAAAAATAATCGTTTTATGGATTCTTTGAGAGATGATTTTCATTGAGAATTCTATCCTGAAACCACCCAAGAATATAACTGTAAATAGAGGAAGCACTTTATGACTTGAGTTTTTATATATATGTGTATGTGTATGTGTATTAGATGTAGCACTGTCCTTCTGTTGTTCATCGATTTACTTGAGTGGGCCCAGTAACGTCTCCATTGTGAGACTTGTTGTTACTGTGTTTGGCATATCGAGAATACATCACGATTCGATGCACAGGCTTTGCCATGAGGGTGAGATACTCTCGGTAGCTTGCCGGACTCTCTTGAGAGGTCCGGAGGAATCAAACTCGCGTCGGCCTGGTCGGCTGCGTTCAAGGCAGATGCCCTACCCACTGTGCTATCCCTCCAGCCCGTATTATATGTATGTGTATACAAACGCAAACATACTCTATATATGTGTATGTGTGTATATGTACACAACACACACGCACATAGATATATATAGAGAGAGAGAGAAGAGAGAAGATAGATTTTGGGGACATAGCTGGTGGCACTCAGGGGTCACTCCTGGTAGTGTGCTGGTCATCACATGGAGTGCTGGGGATCAACCCTGGGGTGGCTACATGCAAGGTGAGTGCCTTCACTGCCATACTCTCTTCTATCTAATCTTAATAAAAGGTAAAAAAGGTAAAGGCCCTCCCGTTGATCATCGATTTGCTCAAGCGGGCCCAGTGACGTCTCCATTGGAGACTTTGTTGTTACTGTGTTTGGCATATCGAATACATCATGGGGAGCTTGCCAGGCTCTGTCATGCGCGCGAGATACTCTCGGTAGCTTGCTGGGCTCTCTGAGAGGGGCGGAGGAATTGAACTCGGGTCGGCCATGTTGGCTGCGTGCAAGGCAAACGCCCTACCACTGTGCTATCGCTCTTTATATATATTTAAAAAATTTTGTGGGAGTGGATTTTGGTGCTACAGACAGTGCTCAGGGATCACACCTGGCGGTGCTTGGGCACCAAGTGTGGTTCTAGGGGGCGAACTGAGATCTGTTGTGTGCAAGGCAAGTGCTATACTTTTTTTTTTTTTTTAATATCTCTGGCCCAGGATCTGGAAACTTTAGACTTGGAAGTATATATAGTTCTTACATGATAAATCAGGAGCAGAGTTTTTGTGGGGTGTGGAAAGGAGCAGTGGATGAGAGTGGTCACAGATCAAATCTGTAACCCTGATGAATTTGGATTATGTTCTGCATGGAGCAGAGTTAATGGAGAATTAAGCACAAAGTGACTATCAGATTTATTTTACAAAAACGGCTCTTAATAAAGTGAGTGGAACTCGAGACTCAACAGCAGTGAGCCTTAGAATTCAATGAAGCATGTGAGCACTACAATCAAGAGTGCATGTAACCTTTAGCAGCCATCATAACCGTGTGTGAGATCTCTGGTCATCTTAGAAACACAACAGTAAGGGAAAGGGAAAGATGATACAAGAAGAACCATATGGGAGGACTTGTGTGACTTTTCCTCAACTGGGTGGATGGATATAAATTAGAGCTTAAATCATTAAAGTGAGGTCATGTAACTGGGTGTGGGGGCCAGGAAAAGTAAAAACATATGTTTTAAGATAAGTTTCTCTGTTTTGTTAACTGTGAATGTTTGGTTTTTTGTACCTATTTTATATACCTATACACCCGTGATTGTGTAAAGTTTCTCAAGTAGAGAAGAGTAGAGTGGGCTGGGGCAGATTTTTCTTGGACAAGAAGGGGTTCCGAATGGAAAAGCTTAAAACCCTGGGTTATGAATTCGAATAACAATGTAAATTTTCAGTATTCACAGGGAAATTTCATTTAGTTTTGGGAAGGTTTGATTCCAAGCTTCCCCCCTTGCCCACCCATAAATCTGAGATTGACAGTAGTAATATTTAAGCTGAGACAGAAAGGATGACAAAGCCAAGTAGAGTTGGGGAGGGAACATTTTAGGCATTTTAGACAGCAGGACATTTGCACATCAGCACTCCCCCCCCATTTCTACTGAAAACCATATGTTCAGAGCTACACTTCTTCATTCTAGCCTAACCCCACAAGGTTCATTCTAATTTGATCAGTTTCCTTGTATATATCTATTGCCCATCACAGAGGTTATACCTTGCATAGATGCCCTCTTCACCTTTTGGTTTGGTTGTGCCCTCTATATAAAGTTGACGAGTTGGGAGTGGAAGCACATCATATCAGGAATGTTGTTTTGAACATGTTCCTTTTGTATGCTTGTGGTAATTCTAAATGGAGGAAAGGTGTCTTGTGGAGATGCCTAAGAAAATTTATGTCTGAGCTTTATATCCTTGGTATGCAAACTAATAAGGGAATAGATGAGATACTAGAGAGAGAAGGACTAATGCTGGAAAGAAAAATCGTGAAAGGGGCCAGAAAGATAGTATAGTGGGTAGAGTGCTTGCCTTGCAAGCTGCTGATTGTCGGCACCATCATGCCACCAGGAGTAAGCCCTGAGGATCACTGGGTTTGGCCCCCAAATAAACAAAAATCCCCACTGCTTCCTTCTTTCCCTCCTTCTGGTGGTGCTCAGGGGACCATATATGTATATACAGTGCTGTGGAATCAAACCAGGGTCAGCCACATATACTGCAGGTGCCTTATTCACTGTATTATTTCTCTAGCCTCAAAACCATGGTTTTAAGTTTCAAATCACCATTGCTCCCATAACACAGGAGTTATTTTGTCCCTCACCTTCACGAATTGACATTTCCCACTCTGTGCTCTGGAAGCTGTGTTGTTCTAATGGTGGAACCTGTGTGCTCCTGAGTGCAGAGTGTGTGGTCCAGCACTTTGAGTCATTTTTCACCCTGCTTCAGGAGTTCTCATGTAAATAACAAAATCGGAGTGATATATTAAACAAGGTAAGCACTTAGACAATTTTGTTGTTGTTGCCATCACCACACCTTGTAGTTCTGGGGAACTATGCCATGCTGAGGATCCTGCCCAGGAATATACATGTGGAGCAGATGAACCACAGTTGAACCACATTTCTAGCTATAGATACTATTTTTAGGAGCTTTTAGGAACATGAAAGTACCCCTTAACTATCCTGGAATTGAGAACATGTTATAGATCAGATAATGTTTGAACTGAGTATTGTCTAGGATTTAAATGCTACTCTTCTAAATTTTATGGCTTGATTTTTTTCAGCAGTAACGAAATAAATTGTTAAGTATTATTATAAAGGTGAAGAGCACCATAAGGAATATAACCCAATCCACATGCAGACTTAGTCTGAAAATTATGTATTACTCTGTTTTGTTTCTTTTGTTAACATTTTGATGTTAAGTATAATTTCTTTTATTACAGATGTCCTCCTCGAACTTTCTTACCAGCCCTCTGCAAAATATTTCTTGATGAAAGTGCTCCAGACAATGTTTTAGAGGTCACAGCCCGTGCCATAACATACTACCTGGATGTGTCTGCAGAATGCACCCGGAGAATTGTTGGGGTAGATGGAGCTATAAAAGCACTTTGTAATCGCTTGGTTGTGGTTGAACTTAACAACAGGACTAGTAGAGACTTGGCTGAACAGTGTGTAAAGGTAAGTTTGATTATTTCTTGGTTCACTTGAAGATCAATGAAATAAAAGCATGTTTTGCTAAATATTTGTTATGTTGGGGTCAAAGAAATAGAACAGTGAGTCGGGCATTTGCCTTACAGGAGCCGACCGAGGTTCAATCCCTGGCACTCCATAGGGTTCCCCCAAGCCCACCAGGAGTGATCCCTGAGTAGAGCGACAGGATTAAGCTCTGAATACTGCCAGGTTTAGCCCCTAAACAAAACAAAAATTATCATTATTGGGAATTGGGAACAGAACAGTGAAGGTCACGGTCCTTATGATGTGTAAGAGATCTTTTGCTTGGGAAAAACTTTCTTTGAAATTTTTATTACAATCTTTTACTTTTAAGTAAAAACACATTAATACTTTTTCTAGGCCTATTCATATTTTTCCCTTAAAGTTTTCTTAATTCTCCTTATTTCACTCTTACTAAATTATATTATTCATAGGGTTAATCTGTTTCATGTAGATTTTAAACTATATTAGCATAGACTTATTTATACCATTTAAAAAATTATATACCCATTAAAAAATAAAGATAGGGGCTAGAACGATAGCATAGTGGGTAGGGCTTTTGCCTTGTATGCGGCTGTCCCGGGTTCAATTCCCAGCATCACATATGGTCCCCCGAGCACCGCCAGGGTAATTCCTGTTTGCAGAGCCAGGAGTAATCCCTGAGCATCGCTGGATGTGACCCAAAAACAAAAAACAAAAAAACAAAAATAAAGATAGTTAAATATTGTTTTTATGAGGTTAAGAACTGTAGCACTGTCCTCCCGTTGTTCATCCATTTGCTCGAGCGGGCACCAGTAACGTCTCTATCGTGAGACTTGTTGTGACTGTGTTTGGCATCTCGAATACACCAAAAAGAAATATTTTGTTTGATGAAAATTGAATAGGTCACTAATCATGCTGTACGTACTGCCTTCTTGCTCTTCAGTTCCTGGTAGCTGCTAACAGTTTGAGATTTTTTAAAAATATTTTAATAGTTTTTAATCAACAGGTGGTGCTTGGATTTTTTTTTTATATAGAAAGATTTTGTATGAAAACAGCAGCAACAGCCATAACAACTAATACTACCAGAGCTAGATGTATTATACTGAGCATTTTCCTTGTGTTAACAACTCATTTGATCTATATTACAGTTCTGTGTGCCTATGTGCTAAGTACCACTGATACCGTTTCTGTGCTACGAGGAGGGTGGGGTGGGGGATAAAGTATATAATGGTTAAATAATTTACTGGGATGATGGAGGTTGTGGCAGAGCCAGATTTGAAGATCTGAAATTTAAAGATTAGGAAGTCAGCTGGTTCTGGGGCTCATGGATGTAACTATTTATAGTTATACTCCCTTTAGAGCTAGTTGTTTTGTTCTATTCCTGAGGGAACTAATTATAAACTTTATGGGATACTAAGTTTGATTACTGGATTAAGCATTATATCAGAAGTTTTGTGAACACATTTAACGTTTTATGATTCTCTTAGTTTCCGGTTTAAATCTTTTTATGATTCTTGCTTTCGTAGGTAAACACTTTCAAAATTTTTACCTTCAGATGCCTTTACAAGTTTAAATTTTTGAAGGGCCAAAATTAAATTTTTGGGATGCCAAAGATTGAACTCCAGTTCACTGCATGCAAGGCAGATGCCCTACTCACTGTACAGTCACTCTGCAGCCCCCTCCCCCAATTTTTCTTAAAATAAAAAACTCATTGCCTGCTATTATGCTTTCTATTTTCAGGGGCAGGTGGTGCTCAGGAGGCTTATGGACCCATCTGGGGATGCTCAAACCCTGCAGTGTCAGGGAGAACCCACACAACCTAGAAGGGGTGGGGGGGGTCTCTCAGGTTATAATCAGCAATGTTTGGGGGTATTAGGTGCTGGGTATCAAACCGGGTCAGCCACATGTAAGGCTTGTACTTTAACTCTTATCCTAATCTATCTAGCTGCCCTATGCTTTACTTGTTTTTTTGTTTTTGGACTGCATACAGCTATGCTCAGGGCTTAGTCTTGACTCTGCTTAAGAAGCACTCCTGGCAATGCTTAGAGGATCATGTGGGTTACCTGGGATTGAACCTGGGTTGACTGTGTGTAAGGCACATATCCCGCCCTCTATAAGTCGCTCCTTTCCCACTTTACTTTTTATTTTTTAATTAAAATTTTTTAAAATTGAATCTCCATGAGATACACTGTTAGAAGGTTGTTTATGATTGGGTATCAGTTATACTGTGTTCCATGTTCCAATATCTTCCTTCACCAGTATGCATTTCCCACCACTGATGTCCCCAATTTCCTTCCCGTCTTCCTTCCCCAGCCCTCGCTCTCTCTTCCCCTCTTCCCACTTTACTTTTTAAATAAATTATTTCTCAAGCAAATAGAAAATTAGTGAGAAGAATAACACTGGTAAGCATTTTTGCAAGTTAAAAATACCTGGTTTGGTGAGAGAGTTATATCCTTGTATTTGCTTCTGCATGTAGTTAATTGCTGTATCAGCCATCATTTATGCTTTGGAAAGCTTACTCTGAAAGAATAAGAATGAAAAAGACATTTGTATTACAGAAGGAGTTTTAATTTCAAGGATCCCAAGAAATGTCTTCATCTCGCGGTGATAGCAGCTGTTTACGGTGTTAGCATCATGTCTTTTTGCCAGCATGAATAGACTTATTTATATCTGGCTCTAGCCTCAAAGGTAGAGGTGTTATACTGTTCGGAGCTTTTTTCCCTCTTACTGTCTTAATCACATTACTTTATGTTTATTTTAGGACTGGGATTTTACTCCACAGTATTTTCAGTTTTTTCGTTATTACACCCTGCTTTCCTTTTTTTCTTTACAGGTGATTCTTAGCATTTTTCAATTTTCTATTATTCTGGTTTTGTTTTGTTTATGAGTAGCTTGTGGACTGCTTCTGGTAGTCGCAAATAGTCACTCCTGGTAGTTCTAGGGAACCATATGGTGCCGGTATTGAACCTGGGCCTCCTGCATGCAGAGTTTGCTCTCTAGCCTTTGAATTCTTTCTCTTGCACAATTCGCCTTGTTTTTACCTCTTAAACCTAAATTTGCCTTCACAGTCTCTTCAATCGTTACTATACTTTCATACAGAAGTTCTTCACACCTCTCTGTCTCTTGACCAACCTCTCTGAATCCGTGGTCTTCAGCCACCAAATCCATAACCAGTGCCAGTTCTAGGTGTGAAAAGGTTGAAACCATTCTAACACTTTGTTTGTAATGCTGACCCGGGGACCTGTGTACAGGACAGTTGCCAGTCCGCAGGTGTGAAAAGGTTGTAGAGGATTGAGAGAATGTACAGTAGGTAGAGTGACTTGCCTTTCATGTGGCTGACCCAGGTTCAATCTCAGGCTCTGCATTAAGTGCCCCGAGCACAGCCAGGTGTGGGCCCCACAAAAAAACAAGAAGATTGAAGAGCTCTGCTTTAGAGTAGTACTAAAACTTCAACTGTTTTTAGATCTATTTTTATGTATATACTCTTTACACCTTCATCTCTTTTTTGATGGGGGACTGGAGGCAGGGGTGGGGGAGGTTGGGCAATAACTGGCAGTGCTCAAGGCTTACTCCTGGCTATGTGATCACCTTGGCAAAGCTGGAGGACCACATACTTGGTTGCCTTGTGTAAAGAAAGCGTCTTAATCCTTGCACTGTCTGTATGGCCCCATGCCTTTATCTTTTATCCTGACCCTTCCCACTCCACCCCACCCCCTCTTGATTTCTAGACTTTCTATTCACAGGTTTTTTAAGCTCTCCGGTTGAATATTTGAATACATTATCTTTCATAGCAGGTCAACTCTTTGGTAACTGACATCCCATCAATACCCAGACAAAACTGAATGATTTTGAGGGCTGAATGATTTTGAGGGGGTGATGGCTCTCAAATGGTGCTTAGGAGGAGATTTGTTGCTAACCAGACCAGCTGTTCAGTATATGGGCCTGAGAATATGATTCTGCTCTTGCTCTGAGTGTCAGGGATACCTAAGCTACTGTGGGACTGGGGGCTTCCAAGGGCTTCACCCAGCACTGGGGTTCTAGGGACCATGTATTGCTAAGAATTAAACTTAGCTAATCCTGTGCTCTAACTCCAAACTATCTCCTGGACAATTTCTAAAAATGAGTGTTTTATTTCCTTTTTTAATACTCATTTAATTAATGGTAAATCATACTCAGGTTTATTTCCTCTTTTTCTGCCATAGGTAAGTCTTACACTCTTGAATACTAATAATTGAATATTTACGTTTGCTTTTATACTTTTCCTGTAGCCTCTTTTTCTTTCTATTTTTTTTTGGAGGGGAGGTGAGGGGCGTGCTCGAAGGGAGTGCTTGAACTTACTACTGCTTACTACTCTTGGTGGAGCTCAGGGTACCTTGTGGAGTGCTGAGGATAGAACCTGGGTTTGCTGCGTGTAAAGCGTACACCCTGCCTGCTATCCTGTCTTTCTGTCCCTGATATCTTAGAGTTATTAATTGGAAATTTGACATTTCTCTGCTTAAAATGTTTTTCTTACAGAATAAAGCCTTAAATTTGTTGCATGTATTTATTTATTTTTTATTTTTTTAATTTTTTTATTGTTTTTATTTTATTTTATTTAGTTTATTGTTTTTATTTATTTATTTTTATTGTTGCATGTATTATAAACTCCTAATTCTTTTTTATTGTTAGTTTTGGAGGGTCACACTTAGAGGTACCTGGGGGATTTGCTGTTCTGTGCAGGGGATTGAAGCCAGGCTTAACATGTGCAAGGCTTGTGCTCTGCCACTTGAGGTGCATCTCTGGTCCATTAACTTTACTTCTATATTGAATATCATAAATACAATATGAGTTGGAGAGTAAAAGTTGATTTTTGACTTGTAAGGGACCAGCGAGACAGACAGAGGTAAGGTTCAATCCCCGAACACTACCAGGAGTGGTCCCTGAGCACAGAGCCAGGAGTAAGCCCTAAGTACCACTGAGTGTGGCCCCAAAACCAAAACCAAAAATCAAACAAAATAAATGGTTAATGTTTTGGTTTGGTAACTATATATATAGTTAAAGATGTATCTTCATATGCATGTATATGAATGCATTAAAAATAGTAATAGCATTTCAATTTATTTTTTATGCTTAGGATTTTAGTAGAATTTTCTGAAATGTCTTAGTGTTTCTTAAGTTACCATGAAGAGCCCACCTTCTAATTTATGCTGTCCAGTATGATTGCACTTAAGACTATTAAACACTTTAAATTGTGATTTCCCAGACTAAAATGTTTCATAATGATAAAGTATACCTGAAGGGGCTGGACAGATAGTACAAAGTTGCTTGCCTAGCATGTGGCTGATTCCATTTTGATGGCCTGTGTATGATTCCCCGAGCACCACAAGGAGTCACACCTATCACTGCTGAGTACCGCTCCTGATGACTCCTTCCCATAGATATTCATAGAATTCTGAAGGCTAAGAGCATAAGGTGAACTACATCAATAGTATTGGGCTAAGTAAAGCCATATTAAAATTGATATCTTTGATTTTGCATTACTTTAAAAATATGCCTATTAGAAATTTAAAGGAGACGATTTTCTGGGCTGGAGCGATAGCACAGGGGTAGGACGTTTGCCTTGCACGCAGCCAACATAGCCGACCCGAGTTCGATTCCTCCACCCCTCTCGGAGAGCCCGGCAAGCTGCCGAGAGTATCTCGCCCGCACGGCAGAGCCTGACAAGCTCCCCGTGATGTATTCGATACGCCAGACACAGTAACAACAAAATCTCCAATGGAGACGTTACTGGGCTGGCTCGAGCAAATCGATGAACAACAGGAGAGCCTTTACCTTTACCTTCTGTGATTATAGAAAATTAAAATTGGACTTCCTATATTAATTTTGTTTTACTGTTACAGGTCTTAGAACTGATATGCACTCGTGAGTCCGGAGCAGTGTTTGAGGCTGGGGGTTTGAACTGCGTGCTTACCTTCATTCGGGACAGTGGACACCTGGTTCATAAAGACACTTTGCACTCAGCCATGGCAGTGGTATCAAGACTCTGTGGCAAAATGGAACCACAAGACTCTTCTTTAGAAATTTGTGTAGAATCTTTGTCTAGTTTATTAAAACATGAAGATCATCAGGTAAATAAATTATTGTTGTATTAAAAAATGCTATGAGATATATTATTTTTCAAAATTATTTTAGGGGTTCAAGGACATAGTACAGCAGCAAGAACCTGCTCATCAACACAAGGCCTTGGGTTATATTCCCATGGCCCCTGCAAAAAAAGCAGGTTTACAGTGTTCTCTTTTAATTAGTAATAAAGTTTAATTTGTTTCTTTCACTTGAAGTAGAGGTATACTTGTATTTTCTCCTTCTTACATTTTAAATCGGTACTGGCAGTTTTGTCAGTGAAATGTTAATTTTTATTTTGTTTTGTTTTTGTTTTGGGGCCGCATCTGGTGGTGCCCAGGGTTTACTCTTGGGTCTGTGCTTAGGATCACTCCTAGTGGGGCTCAGGAGACCATATGTGGTACAGGGGTTTGAACTTTGACCGGCCACATACAAGGCAAGTACCCTGTCCACTGTACTATCATTCCAGCTCAAGAAGCATTAATTTCTTTGCAGTGTTTTCCCAAAGTTTCCCCCCTAGTTAACTCTCGTTTAATTAGTTGACTCCATCCCATACTGTACCCCTAGCTTTATTTTTTTTTTCTTCCAGTTTTTATTTAGGCACCATGCTCATAGTACCATTCACAGTAGTGTTCAGGCATACAATGTTCCAACACAACCACCCACCACCAGAGTGTCAGCATCCTTGCCCCACCCCCTTGACAATCTCAGCTCTGCCTGCCCACTCTCAGAGGCTGTTACCATTAAAAGCACCAGTAAAAACACTGCTTTTACTGTGGTTTTTTTTATGTTCTACACACAGGAGAGATCATTCTGTCCCTCTCCCCCTCACTGACTTCACTCAAGTGTCATACCTTCTAGGGCATCCACATACAGTGAACTGCAGGATCATTGACACTTGGTTTTGGCAGGGGGCATCCCCGGCAATGCTGAGGGGATATTCTTGGCTCTGCACTCGGGAATTACTCTTGCTGGTGTTCAGGGGACCATAAGAGTTGTTGGGGATTTAACCTGAGTTGGCCAAGTGCAAAACAAGCACCCTACCTGCTATATACTGTCTCTCTAGTCCAGAAACATTTTAAATGAAAAATGTGATGTATGTTTTTCCTTCCAATTTAAGTGTTTACAAATATACATTTTTTCGTGATTGTGGGCAGATGTCTCCCAAGCAATGGATTCAGGTTCCAGAGCCACTCCAGGTGATGCTCAGTTATGAGACTGGATGGGTCTGTGCCAGGTAGTGCCGCGTTTAGGCCCGGTGGTGTTTGGAATCCTTTAAGGCTATACCTAGTAGTGTTGTGTGATTGTGTCTGAGGGAGAAAGGTGGTGTGGTGCTGTAGATCAAACATGAGCAGGCCCTCAGGCCCTTGGAACTATCTCCTTGGCGCCATAGAAATTATATATATATAAATTTTTTATTTTTGTGGGGAGAGAGCATTTGGGCAACACCCAGTGCTGCTCAGAGCTTATCCCAGGGATCTCTCCTGGTGGGGCTCAGGGAACCATATGCATTGTTAAGGTAGGTCGTGTACAAGGCAAGCACTTTATGCCCTGTACTATAACTTTGGCCCCTTGGGATTACTCCCAGCCCTGTGTTTGGAATTGATCCTGATGGAGCAAGGCACAGGCCTTACCCACTGTACTATTTCTCTGCAATACAGTTTTAATGGTGTGATTATACTGTGTTAGTTTGTTAACTCAGCACAATTTTGTTAATCTAAAAAGATCTTATAGGTGTAAATTTGTTGAATTAGCACACTATAGCACTGTAGCACTGTCCTCCCATTGTTCATCGATTTGCTCGAGCGGGCACCAGTAACGTCTCACAACAAATTGTGAGACTTGTTGTTACTGTTTTTGGCATGTCAAATACGTCATTGGTAGCTTGCCAGGCTTTGCCGTACGGGAGGGATACTCTCAGTAGCTTGCCGGGCTCTCTGAGAGGGGTGGAGGAATCGAACCCGGGCCGGTTGCGTGCAAGACAAACACCCTACTCACTGTGCTATCTCTCCAGCCCAGCACACTATAAAACTACTTTTTATGCTTTTGTCATTCAGTTGTAAAATATTTTAGTTGATATTATAGATGATCATGTTTAAAACGGTACATAATAATAAATATTGAGTTTTGTAAATTTAGGTTATTTATACATTTGTCTCATTTAAGCTCTGACAGTGAAGTAAGTGCCATTATTATCTCCATTTACAGAGAAGGAAAATTAAGGTTAACTGACTTCTTGGTTTACAAAGTTAGCAGAAAGTGGAGCAAGGATTCAATTTAAACAGATTGTATGCCTTATCTGTTTGCTACTGCTCTTTCTCTATAGTCTTAGAGTATTGAAATACAATTACATTACTATGTATATTATTCCTGTACACATTCATTAGGTTTCAGATGGAGCTCTCCGCTGCTTTGCATCATTAGCTGACCGCTTTACCCGTCGTGGTGTTGACCCAGCTCCATTAGCCAAGCATGGACTAACTGAGGAGCTTTTGTCTCGAATGGCTGCTGCTGGTGGTACTGTATCAGGGCCATCATCAGCTTGCAAACCAAGTCGTAGCACAACCGGTGCGCCTTCCACAGCTGCAGATTCTAAATTGAGTAACCAGGTGTCAACGATTGTAAGTCTGCTCTCAACACTTTGCAGAGGATCTCCAGTGGTAACACACGTAAGTGGTTTCTAAATCTCTGACTTAAAATCTTTTAGAAACGAAGTGTTTTTGTATGATTCAAATATATTGTTTTCCTTTTCCTGTTCTGTTTCTAGGATCTCCTGAGATCTGAGCTTCCAGATTCAATTGAAAGTGCACTGCAGGGTGATGAAAGATGTGTGCTTGATACCATGCGCCTGGTTGATCTTCTCTTGGTGCTATTATTTGAAGGACGAAAGGCTTTGCCAAAGTCTAGTGCTGGATCTACAGGCAGAATCCCAGGACTCCGAAGACTGGATAGTTCTGGGGAGCGCTCACATCGGCAGCTTATAGACTGTATTCGAAGTAAAGATACTGATGCACTTATAGATGCAATTGATACAGGAGGTTGGAAAATATTTTTTAAAATATAAAAAGAAAACTTTGAGATAAGGAATTACATAGGCATTTCTAGTTTTTCAAATTTGGGCAGTGTTTTAAACAAAATGCCTGAAAACAGAATGACCACCTCCTTCTATATTCTTCCCTTACCCCAAGTACATAATTACAAGTCTGTTTTATGGTCACACTTAAGTCTTGCTGAGTGAGAAAATGAAATTTACCTGTTTCATCACCAGAAGGTGATTATGTTAATTTTAAGTTGAAATATAATACTCATTTAGGGCTGTTAATTTTGTCTGGATTGGTGGAAATGGACAAAAGTGAATTATAGGAACGTATATAGTATTTTTTACTCTGGTTCATCAAGTGATGAATAAATACAAATTGTAGAAGGTGCTTTTGAATTGCCAAACTTGTCCTTTGTCTTCTGTTGACTATAGATGTGGATTAATTTCTTTTCCACAGTTAGGACATGAGACAACTCGTACTCTGACATAGTATTACATATGTTACATGTTTCTCTTCATGTGAATCATTTGAATATCTTTTGAATACTTTTTTTTTATAAACCAGATCTTATGTTTGCTGATTATATACTGGTTTGATTAATTTTTAAATTATAATTTAGGTAACATAGTTGCAGTAGTATTAATGTTGCTAGTTTTGACATATAGCGTTAAAGTTATTTACATTATCATTGACCTAAATATTTAAGATTTTCGTGACTATTAATAATTTTTGGAGGGCATACCTAAGGTGCTGGGGCAACCGTGTGGTGCCAGGGATTGAACCTGCTGCTCTCCATGTACAGCCTGATGCTGCTCCTTTGAGTCATCTCCCCTGCCCCATCGCTGTTTCCAAAAGGTTTCAGCTTGGGCTGGAGCGATAGTATAGTGGTAAAGCAATTCTTTTGTGTGTGCCCGGCATAGGTTAGATCCCGGCATCCCATTTAGTCCCCTGAGCACTGCCAGGGTCCCTGAGCATCACTAGGTGTGGCCCAGAAACAAAAAAAAATAAAAAGGTTTCAGCTTTAGAAGGTGTCAGTATTATGTTGGCTTTAAACATTTTTATTTTTCCTTTAAACTTCCAGCCTTTGAAGTAAATTTCATGGATGATGTGGGTCAGACTCTATTAAATTGGGCCTCTGCTTTTGGAACTCAGGAAATGGTAAGATAAATAAAAGCTAGTGTTTTGACTCAAAGATACAATGTTAATAAAGACCATGTTTATGATTCTTCTTCATTTTATAGGTAGAATTTCTGTGTGAAAGAGGTGCTGATGTTAATAGGGGTCAAAGATCATCATCATTACATTATGCTGCATGTTTTGGAAGACCTCAAGTAGCAAAGGTAAAATACAGATTTTTTTTTTTCTTTTTGAGTCACACCCGGCGATGCACAGGGGTTACTCCTGGCTCTGCACTCAGGAGTTACTCCTGGCGGTGTTTAGGGGACCATATGGGATGCTGGGAATTGAACCTGGGTGGTCAGCCACATGCAAGGCAAATGCCCACCCGTTGTGCTATCTCTCAAGCCCTAAAATACAGATTTTTAAAATGACTGATTGTTTATTATTTACATTTATGTTCCCAGATCACAGTGATATAAAATTCCATGCTTCCATACCATGTTCTTTCATCTGTATTCCCCTAGTCCACTTTATGGTAGAATATGTTTTCACTATTTCTAGTACAAGCAAACAAAATGTGTGTGTGTATTTGTATATAAGCACACACATACCCGTTTTATGAAGTGTAAAGAATGTACAAACTGATTTGTGCTTTGTTCTTTTTTTTTCCCCCTGCTTTTTTTGGGTCACACCCGGCGATGCACAGGGGTTACTCCTGGCTCTGCACTCAGGAATTACTCCTGGTGGTGCTCAGGGGACCATATGGGATGCTGGGAATCGAACCCAGGTTGGCCACGTGCAAGGCAAGCGCCCTACCCGCTGTGCTATTGCCCCAGCCCCACTTTGCTCTTTTAATTTAATATTATATAACGAAGACCTCAGTAATCAGAAAGTTTTTTACATCTAAATATTCTGCCAGTTTATTGAACCTGTTGTCAGACATTGGATTGTTTATAGTATCTTACTATTTGCCTTGAGTAATTGTACATATTTCTATTGTTTCTACTAATTAATAAAGCAGATATTTACAGAAGAATCAGAAAAGACTTTGGAGAGTATTTTTTACAATGAGGAGAAAATTATTTTCAGAGAAATCATATAATCAGGATTGAATCAAGGGACTGGGTGGTAGTATAGTGGGTAGGATTTTCCATGGCAAACCTGGGTTTGTACCCCCGCATCCTATAAGTTCTGCTGACCCCTCCAGGAGTGATCCCTTAGTTCTGAGCCAAGAGAAATCCCTGACCACAGCGAGTTGTAGCCCCAAAACCAAACCAAAAATAAAATAAATGAATTAAAAATATGATCTGAGTCTCTGGAATCTGAGTGAAGTAATTTGGCATATTTAAAAAGAAAAATCGATAAGCCTAGCAACTAGGCCTTGGGCAAGTTTTTTAACTTTGGCTTGCAGTAAGTTGTTCATGTATTTCTGTCATTTTTTTTTTATAATTTATTTATTTATTTATTTATTTATTGAATCGCTGTGGGAAAAGTTACAAAGCTTTCAGGTTTAGGTCTCAGTCATGCAAATATCAAACACCTTTCCCTTTACCATTACTTATTTTTTACCACGAAGAACCCCAATAAAACCCCACCCCCACCCCTCCCAATGCCTGCGAGGCAGATGAATTCTAGTTGACACTCTATCTGCTTTGATTAGATTCATTGTTGCAATAAAAGCTGCACCACTATTATTTAAGAGTTTACCCCCTCCCCCCATTTCTGTCATGTTTATTGTGGTAATTAGAAAAAATACAAACTTTTATTGTAATTGATACATTGTTGATGCTCACATGATAACTTCAATTATTGTTATCTTTATGTTATAAACATTTTTTCTAATAAGTGTTAAACCTGGAAAGGTGGTTTCTAAGCTCAAAGTTTGTCAATTTAAATAAGGTAGTTTTAGAGAGACATATTTCTTTCTACAAGAGAGAAAAAATAATTGGTAAAAATAAATTGAGCAGTTTTCCTTTTTACTCAGTGTTCTGTAATTAATAGTGGCTTGAGTGGGAGAGGAACCCAAATGAATTGTAGCTAATCTATCTTGATTATATATCAACCCACATTGAACTATAGCTGCTACTATAATGATACCATTGGTCATACACACTGAACAGTTACTCTGTACTGCTTTATGCATTTAGCAGGTCTTATCATTTACTCTCACAGGTTCTTATATTTTTGATTCTGAGATGTATCCCCCACGTCCCCATACACATTTAAACATCTTTCAAGTAGGCAAAAGTCTTAAAATTGTTGACTAGGTATTAACTGCAGCATGATTACCACTACCTGTTAATACAGTTAGCATTCCCAAATGGACTTAGTAACTGGGAAGAAAAAAATCTGTCTTAGATGTGCTACATGACTGTTACTCTTTATGGCATAGATGAGTATATTGCATGAAAAAAACAAATCCTGATGACTTGGAACCAAAAAGCAGTAAAAGAATTACGCTCAGGATGTGAAGTTAGAGAGATGTCTTTATTTAATTGCATTTACTTATATTCAGGTACTGTAGGAAAAAGTACTAAATGAGAAGGGTATTTTTTGTTTTGTTGTTTTGGTATTTGGGCCACACCCAGGAACACTCAGGAGTTACTCCTGGCTCTGCACTCAAGAATTACTCCTGGTGGTGCCTGAGGAGACCATATGGGATGCCAGAGATTGAATCTGGGTCAAGTTGTATGTGCAAGGCATGCATCTTCCTGCTATACTATTGCTATGGTCCCTAACGTTTTATCAGTTAAAAAATTTCAAGAAATTGAGGATCAGAGAGTACCAGAGGTAAAGCTTTTTTGCCTTGTACATAGCTGATCCAGGTTTCATCTGCTGCACCCCTTCTGGTTCCCCAAGCACCATGAGGAGTAATCCCTGAGCACAGAGCCAGTAGTAAGTCCTGAAAACTGCCAGATTTGGTACCTCTGTATCGCCCCTCCCCCCAAAAACCAACCTAGAAAATGAAGATATTCCCAAAAAAAAAGAAAAGAAATCATTGTTAGAAGATTTCATTGGCGTTGAGTTTTCTTTTATACTTCTTTATACTAGACTAGTGCTCAGAGACGTACTCTGGTGAGCTGCAACTCCCAGTCAGCCATGCAATCACTAAGGGAAAGAACTGAAATCAGCAGGATGTTGTATTGCTGGTGCTTTAGACTTAGGATAGTTTCAATTTAGGATGCACTTAGCAAGACATTAACCCATTGTAAATTGTGTCTTTAAAGATTGCACAGTTGCATAGAAGAAATAGGTGTTGTTAATTGTTGTACCCCAATTAAGTGCTTTTCTTTTTTAGACTCTTTTACGGCATGGTGCAAACCCAGATCTGAGAGATGAAGATGGGAAAACTCCATTAGATAAAGCTCGGGAAAGGGGCCATAGTGAAGTAGTAGCTATTCTTCAGTCTCCAGGTGAACTATATCTTTCTTGAGCCATCTGCTTTCACTCTTTTAGCTTCACTTGCATGGAAGTAGTTTTTTGTAGACACATTCATATTATATCATTGAACTATCCCCATGAAGTCAAAATAATTGTATATGTATGCCCTTAATGTTAATAAACCGTTAGCATTCTGATTTTGTATTCTTTAAGACTAAATGACCAAAAGTTTTCTGGATGTGGGAGTAGCATAAAGAACGATTGTGTATTGTGTATAAGAGGTACTTTGACCAAATCTTCATAGATTTCATAGAATAAATAAATGCAGAACCTCTTGGAGAAAAAAAAAATTGGGTGAATTTAGTAGAATATCCAAATAACTCTTGAATACATGTATCAGCTATCGAAGGTACTGATGTGTTTCAGTATACTTATAATGCCTTTGCTAAAACTTCCTTGATCATTGTTAATCAGGGATAATTATAATTAAAAGTTGCATACATCTTAGTATTTTTTTTGCCTTGTAGTAAAAGTTTTTAGAAAATTATTTTATTGAGCCATGATTGTTTGCAGGTGATTGGATGTGTCCAGTTCATAAAGGTGATGATAAGAAAAAGAAAGATACGAACAAAGATGAAGAAGAATGTAATGAACCAAAAGGAGATCCAGAAATGGCACCGATATACTTGAAAAGGTTATTGCCGGTGTTTGCACAAACATTTCAGCAAACTATGCTGCCTTCAATAAGGTAGTTACTTATATTATTTATATTTAGTGAGGAAAGTATGCCAATTTCCATTTTTAAGAATGATTTGAGGATTTAATAATAAAAAGGTAATGTAAGGAAGGAAAGATTTGGAAATTATTATTAACTTCTGATGATCTGATTTAAAAGACACAGGACAGTGGGGAAGGTACTTACTTGCCTTGCACATAGCCAACCCGAGTTTGATTCTTGGCACCATATGTGGTCCTCTAAGCCTGCCAGGAATGACCTCTGTTGATAGAGCCAGAAATAAGCCCTGAGCACTGCCAGTGTGGCCAAAAAAACTAACAACAACAAAAAAGACGCAAATTTGGGGGACGGAGTGATAGTATAGTGGGTAGGGCATTTGCCTTGTATATGGCCAACCCAGGTTTGATCCCTATCATCCTATGTGGTCCCCCAAGTACCACCAGGAGGAATTCCTGAGTACAGATTCAGGAGTAATCCCTGAGCATTGCCAGGTGTAGCCCCAAGACCAAAAAAATGGGAAAAAAAAATTACCTGAGAGTTCAGTGGATAAGGTGCTTGTCTTGCATGAAATAGACCCTGCTTTAATTCCCAGCACCCAGTAGTGTTCTCCAAACTATGCGAGGTGTGGCCCAAAACCCTCACCTCTCCAAAATATTCCAAGAACTAGATTTTAGAGTTTTTGTCGAGCTCTGTGAACAACTCTATAAAAGTGGCGGGGGGGGGGGGGGGTTGGTTAGTTGGTTTTTTTGAATTTTGGGCTCATACCCAGCGATGCTCAGTGGTTATTCCTGCTCTGTGCTCAGGAATCACTCCTGGAGGTACTTGGGGCACCATATGGGATGCTGGGGATTGAACCTGAGTCTGTGTGTACAAGGCAAACGTCCTACCTGCTGTACTATCACTCCGGTCCCTTTATAAAAGTTTTGGTAAGTACATGGGGCTGGAGTGATAATACAGTGAGCAGATCTCTTGCCCTGCAAAGAGTAAGCTCTAAGCATGATGGATATGACCATCTCCACTCCCCTAACTCCCCAGGAAAAAATAGTACAGTTTTGATAAGCACAGCAATATGTATATTTTAGCTTTGTGGTGGCTTTTTGAGTATGAAATGGTCATGGGGGGAATTACACAAACAAGTGAGACTGAGCTCCTGCTGACTGTGCCCTTATGAACGGTTGAGGAAGATAAGTGACTTTATTATTATTATTATTATTATTTGCTTTTTGGGTCACACCCAGCAATGCACAGGGGTTCCTCCTGGCTCTGCACTCAGGAATTTTCCCTGGCGGTGCTCAGGGGACCATATGGGATGCTGGGAATCGAACCCGGGTTGGCCACGTGCAAGGCAAATGCCCTACCCACTGTGCTATTGCTCCAGCCCCCAAGATAAGTGACTTTAGAATAAGTGATAGATTATCTGTATTACAAGAGCTCATAATCAGGGGCTGGAGCGATAGCATAGCAGGTAGGGTGTTTGCCTTGCACGCAGCTGACCTGGGTTCAATTCCCAGCATCCCATAATGTCCCTTGAGCATTGCCAAGAGTGATTCCTGAGTGCAAAGCTAGGAGTAACCCTTGTGCATTGCGAGGTGTGACCCAAAATCCAAAAAAAAAAAGTTCATAATCAGAGTTCTAGCTTTGTAGACAATTTAACTACTAGTTTATCTGGGCAAGCTAGAGATAGTTTTATGTCACACACATGGCCTGATTGTGGTGTTTACACATTTGACCATAGAATCGCACATCTTATGTGGTGCTTTCTTTAGTGATGGTGCTTGCATAAAGGTTGCTGGATGTTTTACTCCTCTGAGCAGTACTCGCAGTGTGCTAGAGATCTGCTGATGTGCTCAGGATCCCAATCAACAGAACTTGTATATTCCTGGGTCAAACTTAGAGCTTCATACTATAAGGCAGATGCTTTACCTCTAAGCCTTTCTTGGGGCCTCAACAACCATAGATTTAAAAAAATGAATCTGGACAGGGAAGAGCCCCTTTTTGTTTCAAGGCGTTTTTACTCCATGATAATGAGTGTGTACTTTCTTTTAAATTTCATTTTTAAAAAGTTGTTCACAATTCTTTATTACATTCAATATTCCAACATCAATCCTACCACCATTATACCTTCCCACCACCATGATTTCAAAATTTTCTACCACCACCCAAGCCTGTTCCAAAGGCAGATTCTGAATTTTTTTTTTTTGCAGGGGGGTCACACCCAGCAATGCTCAGGGGTTATTTCTGCTTCTGCACTCAGGAATTACTCCTGGCAGTGCTTGGGGGACCATATGGAGTGCCTGGGATTGAACCTGGATTGGATGCGTGCAAGGCAAATGCCCTACCCTCTGTACTATTGCTCTGGCCCCAGATTCTAAATATTTTTTCACCAAAAATGATCCAAAATGGTTTCCTTAGAGGAAAGTGTGTGAGATTATTGTATCTCACCGTGGAGCCATTAAGACTTTGTATAAGAGATTACTATCATGTTGTTAAAAGTTGAGCCTTGTTTACTAATACTTTATTTTTATCAAGATTGGTTGCCTTCTGCTTTATACCCCATTGAATGTGGTATGCTACTCCTGATACATCAGTGGTGTAGATTATGAGGTGTTGCTCCAGGAATTCTAAAATTTTAAGTAGGGTGATAAAGCTGGAGTTGAATTTTTAACTGGATGGTGACTTTGGGGTCCTAAGGCATCTCAGCAGCTTTTTGCTCTCTTCCAAGATTTATTTGTGTCGTTGGATCATGGTCATTAATGAACTTTAATGAGGTAGTTCGCCAGAGGTAGTTCATTAGTGTGACTGCCAGGCTCCTGGAAGAACAGGGTGATGGGGTGGGGAGGAGGTCACTCATTCCTGACTCTGTGACAGCATGGAGATTTTGGTCACAAAATCCTCATACCTGAGTTTTTCAGCAGGCTCAGTCTCATGCATGAGGGGCTTATCCTAAGCCTGTCGAGATGTGAGCATGGCTGTGAGCATGGAAGTGATTCGGTTCTGGGGGTTTTCAGTTGCCTGGGCTCTGTTGGGGTAGGTAGTGGGCTCACCCATCCCCCTCTGTGGTGGCCTGGATGGACTCAGCCTGGCGCTGGATGTGGAGGCATCTCTGTAGCTTGTTGCTATCTTCCGGGATTTGTGAGTCTGGTGAGTGCATACTTTATCCTACAGTTAAAGAAGGATTATTAAAGATTTAGGACAGAATTTGTCAGTCAACTTGTGATTTATTAAGATCATCTTGGCAGCTTATTGAAGAAAAATACTGAAGGAGAGCAAGAATGAAACGACTACTTACTGATTCTGCAACATCAACTTCAGTCACTTGCAAGGGAACTTGATTGGTGGGAATAAACTTATGAGATTAATAAATGGGCTGTATAGGGAATTGGCAGTTCGTTAAATGAGGGATAGAAGTACAGAGGGGTTAATTATGCCAGTTCTTTACTGCCTTTATTTTGTAATTTGTAGGAAATATGCCAGTCTCTTCTAGAATAATTTGAGTATTTAATGTTGAAATGACATGGCTTATGTAATTATTTCCATCTAAGTGGTAAACTGAGATAAAGTTATTAAATTATCTTGCTCATGGTAGTATTGACATTTGGATCCAGTTGGAGCTGACTCCAGTTTGAACTCTTAAAATATGCTATTTCCATTGCCACAGTTAAATGTGTTGCTATTATTGTTACCTGGGAAATAAGGATCAAAAGTAAAATTATTTTCAGAGTCTTCAAAAATTTAAAACTATAGTCGGAAGCAACTATCCAATAGGAAATTATCCTCTATCGTGACTACTTTATAACTATCTGATGCTCTTACCAAGAAACAGTTCTACTCCAAATATATCTTAAGATCTTTTAATTGGCACAATAGCTATTCTGAAAATTTCGGACAAAATTTTACTTGTGCGTTTCTTTTTGTGTCAAACCCGGCGATGCACAGGGGTGACTTCTTGTTCTGCACTCAGGAATTACTCCTGGTGGTGCTCAGGGGACCATATGGGATGCTGGGAATCGATCCTGGGTTGGCTCTATGCTAGACAAACACCCTACCTGCTGTTGTATCGCTCCAGCCCAACTTGTGCATTTCTTAAGATGACTTTTTTTTTGTTGGAGTGGACCATTAACAACTATACCTCTGAAGCTATTTGGGGAAGAATAATACCCAGGTTCTTAAATGTTCACAGTGAATTATATTATTACCGTTCTTTTATTTAAAGCAGATTGCTTGCACTTTAATGTCAACTCATAATAACGGTATTTAGGGCACTTGAAATCTACAACAAAAACTACATGCTATAAGGTTTTCCTAAACCATAGTCTTAGGGGATGGGTTGGGGGGCAGGGCATGTGGGCCAATTTCCAGCCATACTAGGGTAGCGGTGTCACTAAGTTCAGTGATCAGGGTCATTGGTAGGGTATTGGTAGGGTATTGGTATTGGTATTGCTTAGGTAATACTGGGGGCCACCAGGGCTAACTGGTGTCATGTGATAACCAGGAACCAAAGCCAGGACCTTGTACATACATGGTCCCTGTGAACACTCTCGCTTGTTGTACTCGTACTCTTCATTCACTTCAGGGGAGATGGCCGCACATGCAGTGCTCTGGGGCTGTCTGAGGGTTCCTCTGGGCAATATTTGGCCATCTGGGCTAGAAAGTACAATGCTAAAGCCTGAGGATGCACTGCTGCTCAGTGTTCTGTAGTTTTAGGGAACTCTACGCTGCACCTGGTTCTGGGGAAACCATGCAATGCCAGGATTCAAGCTTGGTTCTGGGTTTGAATTTGGATTCAAATTCAGGGCATGCTCAGCCACACGTTCTAGGGGAAAAAAGGAAGCTCAGATAGAGAAGGGAGCACCAAATAAAGGGTGTTGGGAGGATCCTCCCAGGATGGGAGAAACATGCTGAAAGTAGACTATAGACCAAACATGATTGCCACTCAATGCCTGTCTTGCAAACCACAGGACCCAAAAGGACAGAGAGAGAACAAAGGGGAATACCCTGCCACATAGGCAGGGGGGGATGGGGAGGATGGGGGGTGGAGGGATTCTGGGACCCGTGGTGGTGGAGGATGGGCGCTGGTGGAGGGATGGGTACTTGATCATTGTATAACTGAAACCCAAGCACAAAAATTTGTAAGTCTAAAAAAAAAACAGTAATTTGAAATGATGAAATAAATGTTATACTACTGGGAAAAAAAGAAAATAAATCGAGAAATTACTGAAATAAAAAAAAATTCAGGGCATGCTTTGTGGACCTTTAAGCTATCTCCCTGGTAGTTGTCAGTTTTATGTGAACTAATCTTATCCTGTTATTGAATATTTATGTTCTTTTATCAACCCCTGGCAGCTACTATTCAGTTTCTATGAGTTTTAACTTGGTTCCCCCATGCCCCTGCCCACCCCCCACCCCCCAAATTACACATATATCAGGGCTGGAGAAATAGTGCAGCAGGTAGGGTGCTTCCCTTGCACGTTGCTGACCTAGGTTCGATCCCTAGCACCCCATATAGTCCCCCAAGAACTGTTGGAGTGATCCCTAAGCACAGAGCCAGGATTATGCCCTGAGCATCACTGTGTCTGTGTGTGTGTGTGTCTGTGTCTGTGTGTCTGTGTCCCATTCCATATTTACAGATACAGGAATACATGTTTTGTCTTTTTCTGATTTATTTTTACTTATTAGCATTATGCTTTCAAGAGGCTCATTGTTTTATAGACTTCAAAATAAATTCAGCCCCACCCCCCAAAAATTGGGAGCTGGAGAAGTAGTGCTGCACCAATGTTAATGTATTTTCTTTGCATTTGGTTAAGTTGGCTTGATCCCTGACACCATATATGACCCCTGAGCAAGTAGCCCCTGACTGCTGCCGGGTATGGCCCAAAAGAAAAGAAATTAGAATAGAGTAGAATGCATTCTAGGGGCCAGCAACATAGTACAAGGATTCAAGCCTGTGCCCTGTATGTGGCACCTCCCTGGTTTGCTCTGCAGCACCACCTAGTGCAGCCCCAGAGGTCTCTGAGCATTGTTAGGGCGGCCCTGGTTAATCCCTGGCACTGGCATCCCAGAGCCTGGCTGGCATCATAATCCACAGGCCCTTATATTGACCCACCAGCCTAGATGACCAAGTTTTACCAGATCCTACAGCCCCCTGAGCACTTTATGGAAGGCCCCTTCCTCCACAGAATTTCAAGTATTAAGTGACATACAACATTAATTAAGTCTTCTAACTATGTTTTTAATGGCAGGGATTAAACCCAGGTCCTCCATATGTAAAGCATGTGTAAAGCATATCCCTGACCCGAATTTTATTTTCATTTAATTTTTGACTTTTTGGGCCACATCTGGCTGTGCTCAGAAGTTGCTCCTACTCTGCGCTCAGGGATCACTCCTTGCAGGGCTCTGGGGATCATAAGGGGTTCTGGGGATCAAACCCAGGTCGACCAGCCTTTTGCAGGCAAGCACCTTACCCACTGTACTATCTCTCTGGCCCCTTTCTAGTCTTTTTAAAAATCACTTTTTCTACTATGGTTTGGTACTGTTCTTCCAGTACACAAGAAAGTGTTTAGATTCTTAGAAGTTAGGTACAGGGGATTCTTGTACCAAAAAAAAAAAATTCCCCCCAAATAACATTATTTTATAAAATAGAAAAGTCACATATTCACAGTTTTGTATTATAGTGTGAAACTGGCAAATTTTAGTGGGTTGGAGAGATAGATCCCTGGGTGCAGAGATTGGAGTAAATTCTGAACAGTACTGAATGTGGCCCCCAAACCTCTTCCCACCCCCTTACTCCCCAAAAAAGAAACCAAATTTTGTAGCATGCAGATTATTTATGCTCTGCTAGTTGAGAGATGAGTTTGAATTTAGGTTATGTAATTTATTTAGCCCTGTGATCTCAGTAGATTTTCTTCTCTAAAACTGTGCTAAAAAGTTCTCAACGTTATAAGGTTTGTTACATGGATTAAATAAAATATAATTTTTTTTAATATAGAAAAGATTTGTTGGTCATAGAATGTCAGATAAATAATATTATACTGTTTTAATAAAAATCGATACAAAATTATCATGAATACTGGTTTTATGGCCAAATGTAAACAAATATGTCATTAAAATACAGATATAAAATAAATATAAATAGCCATTAAAAATTGGGAGGGAGTAGTCCATTCCGGAAAGCTTTTCCTCCTTTTGCCTGCCACTTTCTGTAGTCTACTTGAATTTGCAATAAGGTAGCTTATTTAATCAAAGTATGGTATTATGAATTTTAGCTAGAGATCAGGAACCACATTGCTGTAGAAATAGTTATCAGACGCCTCTTTTGCGTTTCAGAGGTTTTTTGGTTCTGTTCTTTTGCCATCCATGTTGTTGGTGGGAGAAGAGATGCTGATCTCAGCTTTTTCCTTTGGGCTCCCTGCAGTGTTAGCAGAAGCTCCTATCCTGTGTCATTGGGCCTCCCAAATAAAAATTTGTCTTTCTGCGGAAAATAATCTCATGGGTAACAGTATTTAAAGCTTGATTCCTGAGATATTGTTAGGAACTTAGAACTTAGTAAATTAATTGGCTTTTATATTCTAGATGAATTTTCTCAAAATGTATCTGTGTATGACTCTGTTTGTTTTATGTTGTTTGTACTGCTTTTGTGGGGTAATTCCTTGTGCTCAGGCCCAGCTATGTTCACCACAAAGGGTATACTTAGAGGTGTTCTGGGCTGTGGAATAGAGTTCCGGACCTTGCACCTGCAAATCTTCCTCTTTTTTTTTTTTTAATTTCTTTTTCTTTTTCTTTTTTTTTTCCTTTCTTCCTTTTGAGCCATATCCTCTGACCCTTTAAGGTGATTGTGGGGGTTTTATTTTATTTAATTTATTTATTTATTTTGGAGGGATCTCCCAAGTATTGTTTGGGAGGCCCCTAGGACCCATACTGGTGATTTTCAGACAACTGGACTAGTGGTTCGGTGCTACTCAGGCTGGCATTACCTGGACCACACCCGGACATGCTTGGGGCGCCTCCTGAGTTAGGTGATGCTAGGATCCAGCCAGGGTCAGCTGCATCTATGGCAAGTGCCTTAACCCTAGTATTCTCTCTCATAAAATTGGAGCTAGTTTCTATAACTTGAGTCCCTTGTTCTCAGTAAAGCATTGGATGACTATTCAAGGGAAAACTAATACATTAAACATTGAGGTATTTGATAGAGTGCTAGAGTATTTTGTTTTCATTTATATGAGTCAACAGTTGCAGTGAATATAGGTCTTAAATTTTGTTAAGGGCACAAAATGCTTAATTTGAAATTTGGTTATATAAATGAATATTAGCATTTTTCTCTTTGGGATTTTGCAAAATTTCAGATTAAAGTTTATGCCATTTATTTTTTCTTAGCAATTTATTTACTTGATTTTCAGAAGTTATTACTACGTTAAGTAGTTATACTAATTCAATATAAATAGAAAAGTACATTTAAATTTGGGGAAAGGGAGAGATAGTACAGAGATAAGGCATTTGCCTTGCAAGTTGCCTATCCTAGTTTGATCCCTAGCACTACATAGGTATCCCCCTAGCACCATCAGGAGTGACCTTTGAACACAGGGCTAAGAGTCAAGTCAGAGCACTGCCAGGTGTGACCCAAATAACCCTCTACCACCCCCCCAAAAATAAGAATTGAAAAAGTGACTGGGGAATGTTGCTCAGTGGTAGAGCATTTGCCTTCCTTATGTGAGTCTCTGGGTTCAATTTCTGGGGGAAAAAAATAAAGATTTATTTATGCTGCCAAAAATAAAATTGTTTTGATAAAATCAGTATATTAATATAGATAACAAATGAAATTCAAAGACATAAACTATATTGCTAGTATTAAGTTTACCTTTTAGTATAATGTATAAAACTTTGGATACTTTTATTTCATTAATGCATATTATATATTTTTTTTTAATGCTTTATCATGACTTAAAATTCTTTGTTACTGTTTTTTCAAGGAAAGCAAGTCTTGCGCTGATTCGAAAAATGATTCATTTTTGTTCTGAAGCACTGTTGAAGGAAGTATGTGATTCTGATGTTGGTCACAATTTGCCTACAATACTAGTGGAAATCACTGCTACTGTCCTTGATCAAGAGGTCAGTTTTTCATCTTTTTTTCAAACTCCTATTGCTTTGATTTTTTTTTCATGGTAGCCAGTAAAATAATGTCACCTTTTCCCCAACTTCAGTAAATCATTTAGGTTTGCAAATTACTATTTTTTTAACTGTGGCAGATAAACTTATTTTTATTATTTTCTTTTCTCGTTTTCTTCCCCAGGATGATGATGATGGCCACTTGCTGGCTTTGCAGATCATAAGGGATTTGGTAGATAAAGGAGGTGATATTTTTTTGGATCAGCTAGCCAGACTTGGTGTAATTAGCAAAGTGTCAACTTTGGCAGGTCCTTCTTCTGATGACGAAAATGAAGAGGAATCAAAACCAGAAAAAGTAAGTCATTTTAATTGCTGTGGTTTTAGGAATAGCTTTTGTATTTTTTTTTTTAGGAAATCTAATTTCTAAGATGAAATCTAAAATGGGGTTTGACACAATAACGGAAATATGAAGTTGTATAATTTTTTAACTGAATCACTGTGAGATAGTTACAAAGCTTTCATGTTTGAATTTCAGTCATACAATGATCGAACAACCATCCCTCCACCAGTGCACATCTTGCACCATGAATGTCACCAGTATTCTCTCCCCCCACCATCCCAGCCCTCACCCTGCCTCTATGGCAGACAATTTCCCCCATACTCTCTCTCTACTTTTGGACATTATGGTTTGCAATACAGATACTGAGAGGCTGTCTCGTTTGGTCCTTTTTCTACTTTCAGCACATATCTCTTATCCCGAACGGTCCCTCCAACCATCATTGATTTAGTGATCCCTTCTCTGTTCCAGCTGCCTTCTACCCCAGCTCATGAGGCAGGCTTCCAACTATGGAGAAATATTCCTGTCCCTTGTGTCTACTGCCCTTGGGTATCAGTCTTATTTTATATTCCACAAATGAGTGCAGTCCTTCTATGTCTGTCCCTCTCTTTCTGACTCATTTCACTGAGCATGATACTCTCCATGAACATTTATTTATAAGCAAATATCATGACTTCTTCACCTTTCCTAACAGCTGCATAGTATTCCATTGTGTAGATGTACCAAAGTTTCTTTAACCAGTTGTCTGTTCTTAGGCAAGTGGTGTAAATTTTAACTCAATTTTCTTAGAAAACGTTGATAAATTTTAAAACTTACAGAAAAGTTAGAAATATAGAATACCAGTATTTCCTCTACTAAATTCACTATTGATATATATACACATATATATATATATATTTTTTTTCTTTTTGGGCCATACCCAGCGGTGCTCAGGGGTTACTCCTGGCTCTGCACTCAGGAATCACTCCTGGTTGTGCTTGGGGGGGGATCATATGGGATGCTGGGGATCGAACTTGGGTCAGCTGCATGCAAGGCAAATGCCCTCCCTTCTGTACTATCGCTCTGGCCCCAACTACTGACATTTTTTTTTTCTTTTTTGGGTCACACCCAGCAGTGCTCGGGTTACTCCTGGCTTTGCACTTAGGAATTACTCCTGGCGGTGCTTCGAGGGGGATCATATGGGATGCCGGGGATCGAACCCAGGTTGGCCGCGTGCAAGACAAACACCTACCTGCTGTGCTATCGCTCCGGCCCCAACTACTGACATTTTTGTTCTGTTTGTTTTATCCTTTGTGCTGACACCTATGTGTGTGTATATGCATTTATGTACATTTTAAATATGATTTTAAAAAAATATCCACATCATGGTCCTCTGTTACTCTAAAAACATCACCAACTGGGGGTGCTGGAGAGATTGTATAGTGGGGTAGGGCTCAGGATCACTCCTTTTGTACTCGGGACCATATGGGATTCTGGAGATCAAATCCAGGTCACCCATATGCAAAGCAGTTATCCTCCCTGCTGTAGAATCTCTCTGGCCCTGAATTTTTTTTTTTAATTTTAAAATATGATACATTTTTGGAAAGTTTAAATGTACTTTATTCCTACACACACATTTGCCATGCACATGCCAACTTTATATGTTCATGGTGAATAGCCTTGATATTTAAGTACCAACAAAATTTTGGAATTTTTTTATTCAAAAAGTATGCAGATACTGTTTTTAAGTTGTATTTTTGTGTGTTCTAAAACAGGGCTTAAACTTTTTCTATTCATGACCTCATTTTGCTCCAGTAATGCAACAAGGGTGCGCCACCTTGGATTTATCATGTGTTTGATTTCGAATTGAGTTTTGGTCATTACATGTTCAGAAACCTTTTACTGTTGCCAAGCTTTTCATGATTGCATAGTCCATTTATATAACCACAAAGGAACTCATGACCCAAATTTTTGTTTTAAGGGGCTAGATTCTAAAATACGTATTTTTCAACCTTTTTATACCTGCAGACCAGTGAAAATAGGAATAGTTCAGAGACCACCAAGAAAAAAATAAAATATTTAAAAATATTTATGGATTAATAGTTATCGGTTGATATTTATATTAGTACCATGTGTTAAGTAGCAGTAACTTTTTCACATACTACAGGAGATTTCTGTGGACACATGATTGAAAACCACTGTTCTCAAATTATGATTGTCAGGGATGTGACTCAGTGATGAAGCCCAGGCCTTACAGACATGATCCCTCATACTGTCAAAAAGTGTGTTTAATATTAAGATACATATTTAAAATATTTATGATCTTATGTTCATAGGAATGATCCAACATATTTGGTTTAATTGGCTAAGATAGGGCCTTACGTTTACTCTTCTTGGGAGGGGCGACAGGTTGGGCCAAAACTCGTGGTGTATAGGGTGTACTTCTGGCTCTGTGCTCAGAGGTCATGCTCAGAGGAACATATAATGTGTCAGGATTGAACTGGGGTTGGCTATGTGCAAGGCAAATGCCTTAACCTCTGTACTGTCTATCCTGTCCCATTATCATTTATCTTCAGAAAGAAAGATTCCCTGTGACTGGCTTGCACCACTAGGTTTGCTGCCATGGATCTAGTTTGAACATGCTTTTTTACAAACTAGTCCTGAAGGAGTGCTGGAGATAGTACAGTGAGTAGGGAGATTGCTTTGCATACAGCTGACCTGGGTTTGATTCCTTACACCTCATGTACCTCAAGCTCCACCAGGAATGACCCGTGAACACAGAGCCAGGTGCAAGCACCCTGAGTGTGGCCTGGAAACAAACAAAAAGCCAAGTTTGTCCTGGAAATATGGTCAGTGTTCCAAGACAATTAACAGGTTATGTGTAGGCCTAGTCTATTAGTAATTTGTGTGTTGATCTAAGGCATTATTCATATGAATTTATTAATATTTTTATGACTTGTTTGATCTTTTAAAAGAATTAGTTGGGTGCTTGCTTCAGCAACATGTATACCACATGGGCCCGGTGAGGGAGTGTGGGAGTCTGGCGCACGATTGGAGGGCACTGGAGGCTGTGGGCCATGTCTTCGAAATCAAAAATCAATGAAACAATTACTTCAGTCAAATAAATATTGAACTACTGGCAACTATAGTTAAATATGTTTTTGTTCAAGATGCATTAATTCAAAATTTGATAGTTGTACTTTAAGAATACTTAGGAATATTTTATGGATTAAAGACCTCAACATCAGACCAGAAACCATAAGGTACATTGAAGATAAAGTTGGCAAAACCCTCCATGACATTGAAGCTAATGGTATCTTCAAAGATGCCACGCCACTGGCCGAGCTTCTGCACCTCCAAAGAAACAGTGACCAAAATACAAAGACAGTCTACAGAATGGGAAAGGATATTCACCGAATACACATCTGACAAGGGGTTGATATCCAGGATATACAAAATACTGGTTAAACTCCACAAGAAGAAAACATCCAACCCCATCCAAAAATGGGGCAATGAAATGAACAGAAACTTTCTCAAAGAAGAAATCCGAATGGCAAAAAAGCACATGAGAAAATGCTCTACATCGTTAATCATCAGGGAGATGCAGATCAAAACCACAATGAGATACCATCTCACACCTCAGAGACTGGCCCACATTCAAAAGAGCAAAAGCAACCGATGCTGGCGTGGATGTGGCGAGAAAGGGACACTCCTTCACTGTTGGTGGGAATGTCCACTGGTTCAGCCCTTCTGGAAAACAGTATGGACGATTCTCAAAAAATTAGAAATTGAGCTCCCATTTGACCCAGCAATACCACTCCTGGGAATATATCCCAGAGAGGCAAAAATGTATAGTCGAAGTGACATCTGCACTTGTTTGTTCATTGCAGCACTCTTTACAATAGCCAGAAACTGGAAGAAACCTGAATGCCCAAGAACAGATGACTGGTTAAAGAAACTTTGGTACATCTACACAATGGAGTACTATGTAGCTCTTAGAAAAGATGAAGTCATGAAATTTACATACAAGTGGTACAATATGGAAAGTATCATGCTAAGCGAAATGAGTCAGAAAGAGAGGGATAGACATAGAAAGATTGCATTCATCTGGGGGATATAAAGTAACAAAGTATGAGATTAATACCCAAGAATAGCTGAGATCAGCACCAGGAGGATTACTCCATAACTTAGAGGCCAGCCGGATATCCTAGAGGAAAGGGCAGTTCAGATAGAGAAGGGAGCACCAAATAAAGGATGTTTGGAGGATCTTCCCAGGAGGGGAGATGCATGTCGAAAGTAGACTATGGACTGAACATGTTTGCCACTTAATGCCTCTTTTGCAGACCACAACACCCAAAAGGAGAGAGAGAACACAGGGGATTGCCCTGCCACAGAGACAGGGGGGATGGGGGGATGGGGGTGGGAGGGATATTATCCATGGTGGTGGAAAATGGGCACTGGTGGAGGGATGGGTATCTGATCATTGTATAATTGAAACCAAAGCACAAAAAATTGTAAATCTACAACTTTAAAAAAAAATAAAATAAAATAAAGGGAAAAAAAAAAAGAGAGAGAGACTGCTTTAGACTTCAATAAAATAAAAGGGTTCTTTAAATTACAAAATAAAAAAGAATACTTAGGAATATTTTAAGTAGAAAATTGTTTTCCACGTTTTATTACCTTTTAGGAAGATGAACCACAGGAAGATGCTAAAGAATTGCAGCAAGGTAAACCGTATCACTGGAGAGACTGGTCAATCATTAGAGGAAGGGATTGCTTGTATATATGGAGTGATGCAGCAGCCTTGGAATTATCTAATGGCAGTAATGGATGGTTCAGATTTATCTTGGATGGAAAACTTGCCACCATGTATTCAAGTGGTAGTCCTGAAGGTGGATCGGATAGTTCAGGTAATATTTTGTTTCTGATAATAATGTTTTATTAGATTTTATAATTTTTATGATTTTCTCACGTTTTTGAACATTGTCAAAAGATGTAGCTAATGCTTAATGATCAGTATAGTGGGTAAGGCATCTGCCTTGCATGTACCCAACCCGGGTTCAAAGTGTGACACCCCTTGTGATCCCCTGAGCACACCAGAAATGATCCCTGAGTGTAGGAGCATAGCTGGTTGTGGCCCAAAAACCAGAAAAGAAGGAGAGAGGGAAGGGGAGGGAAGGTAGAAGGGGAAGGGGAAGGAGAAAGGTAAGGGGAGGAGAAAAAAATATGCCTGTGAGAATGCTTTTTGCTAAGCAAATATGTTGAACAAACTGGTAAGAGTATCCCAAAGGGGGAAAAAATGATAATTATTCTTTTTAAAATATTAAATTGATATTCCAACAAGTAGTTGCTTTATTTTTCTAAAAATGGGTATTTGAAAGGAGTGAGATTTTAACATCATCATTTTGTCTTTATAGAAAGCAGAAGTGAATTCCTGGAGAAATTACAAAGAGCTCGAGGTCAAGTCAAGCCGTCTACTTCAAGTCAGCCTATACTCTCAGCGCCAGGACCTGCGAAACTTACTGTGGGGAATTGGTCACTAACATGTTTGAAAGAAGGAGAAATTGCTATTCATAATTCAGATGGTCAGCAAGCAACAATATTGAAAGAAGATTTACCTGGTTTTGTGTTTGAATCTAATAGAGGAACCAAACATTCATTTACTGCAGAAACTTCTCTGGGTGAGTATGTATGTATGTAAGATTAGTAAATAAGAATATGGAACAGGAATTTAGCTCAGTGGCAAAGTGCAGAGAAAGCTGGATTCAATTACCAGTAACACACACATGTGCAGGCACACAAAAAGAAGTCATGCGTATATTAAATTATAAAATATGTTCTGTTGAAATGTCTCTTTTTTCTTTTAAGGTTCAGAATTTGTGACTGGCTGGACTGGCAAAAGAGGCAGAAAACTGAAATCCAAGTTAGAAAAAACAAAGCAAAAGGTGACATTTGTTGGAATGTGGATTCTTTTTTTATTAATATAGTTAAAATTTCAACGCAAGATTGCAGCTGTCAAAAAAATAAGCCATATCATAAATTGCCTGAATCTAACATTTTAGCATTTTTCCTGTGTGTTCATCATTTCTTTTTTTCTTGTTGTTGTTTGGTTGGTTTATGGTGGGGGTAGGGGGGGCTTTCCTTTCTTTGCTCAGGGGTTAGTGGTTCTGAACTGAGAAATTGCTTTGGGGGATCACATGGGATACTGGGGATTGAACCCAGGTCAGCCACATGTAATATAAGCTACCTACCCACTGTACTATCCTCTTTCATTTTTTTGATTGGACAGAATTTGTCTCCAATTCTGAAGAAGCAAAACAAAACATAAAGCTGCAAAAAGTATACATCTATCTTAGATGAAGTCACTAGATTCAGAAAGATGCAGCGACAATGTATTAGTGACTTTACCTACCAAGTCACAGTATTAATTATTAATTTCAGCCAATTAACCATTTAGCATACATAACTTTTTTTTTGTTATTCTTAATTGAAGTAGAGCATAAGGATACTATATAAAGTTTCAGGTGCTGTACACATTAAAAAAATGTAACCAGTATATTTTTATCTCTCAGTAATTCTTTTTTTGGTTTTGGGGCTGGAGGTGCTTAGGACTCTGAGCTCTTGGCAGGACTCAGCACCCCTATGGGTGCTGGGGAGAACTCAGGTCAGCGGCATGCAAAGCAAGCACCTTATTTGCTGTATGCTTCAGCCATATCATTTATTCCTGCATTTTGTTTCTTTTATTTTGTCTTTTTCTTCTATGTTGTTGCTATGGTACCAGTGTATACATTTGATACTATTGGGTAGGGCTGAGGATGTGAGGAGGTGGTAGTCAGACCTTTTCCAGCTTTGTTCATGACTTACTCCTGGCTCTGCTCAGGAATCTTTTTTGGCACTTCTTGTCATATGGTGCTGGTGATCAAATCCAGGTCAGCTGGGTACAGAAGTTCCTTACCCACTATACTATCTTACTGATCCTTTATTTTTCATTTACATAAAATTATATGTCTAAATTTGTTATTTGAATATATATCTTTTTTAAAAATAACAGATTAATTATATAAGATATAAGACCTAGTACATATATGGATTATTCTCTCAAAATATGTGTTTGTATGGATAGTAATTTTGACCCAGATTCACAGCCTTTCTCTCATGGTTACATATGTAAACATGAGGCTCATACATACTTTAAATTGTTTAAGTAGAGAAATAAACCAATCCAAAGTATAATGTAGAATGACAAGAGGGTCATCTTTGGTGTTTTTATTTATTTGCTTATTTGTATTTCTTATTTGTGTTGGTTCACCAGATTGCTTAAAAACTTTTTAAAAGTAGTTATTTTATTTTTTTACAGCTTATTTTAATTTAGCTTAAGTGAAAAGTTCCTGTTTGGTATATGTATGCAAAGTTTACTCAGAAATTGTAATTATGAGCACTTTCATAATGCTGAAGTCTAATAGATTTACTCTAGTAAAGTACTATTTCAGCCACTGTCTCTTTTTGACATGAACAGAAAATAAGCATTTTGTTTTAGAAATTGATTATGGCATGAGCATCTTCTAAAAATTACAAAGAAATACATGTAAAAGGGGAAAGTTGGTAACATTACTGATTTTAGTGAAAATTCACGTTTGCTACTTTTATTTTGCTAGGTCCGAACTATGGCTCGAGATTTATATGATGACCACTTTAAAGCTGTTGAAAGTATGCCTCGTGGGGTAGTGGTAACTCTCAGAAATATAGCAACTCAATTAGAATCATCTTGGGAACTTCATACTAATAGACAAGTAAGTTAACCTCTAGATGGTGCACTCTGATCTTGGAATCATATTTCTTTGTAACGTTTATATTTTGATATTTAGGGAGCAGCATACTAACACCCATGCATTACATTTGGTCTGCTACCTGGTTTTAAAATAATTTTCTTATTATTTGGCAATACCTGCCTATGCTCAGGGCTTAATCCTGGCTTTGTACTTGGGGATCTTGGGGGTGCTTGGGAACTGTCAGAATGCTGGGATTGAACCTGGGTCAGCTTGCAGGGCAAGCCCCTTTCTACTGTTCTTCCCATCCAATAATTATATTTTGTTTGGTTTTGGTTTTGGGCCACACCCAAGCAGTGCCCAGGGCTTACTCCTACCTCTGCACTCAGGATTTACCCCTTGGCAGTACTCAGAGATGCCAGTAATTGAACCCAGGTCTGCTGTGTGCGAAACAAGCACCCTTCCTGCTGTACTATCTTTCTGTCTCTAATTATGTTTCTGTAACTGGCTAAATTTTTTCATAATTTTATAGCACATAAAAGTTAAGTGAAAATATGCCTATTTATTCACTTTTTGGGTTTTTGGACCCCTCCCCCTGGTGATCACAATCTGCTTTGGGGCTGTTTCTGGCTCTGTGTGTGGGGAATCTATTCTAGGCATGTTGTGTCCGCTAGTGAACTGATGTCCACATACACAGCCAGTGCGGTAAACTCTGTGCTATCTCTTTGGCCCTAGAATTTATGTACTGTCATTATCTTAAGTTTTTTTTACTTACAACCCTGCTTTATATTTATTTATATATTGTCAGTGCCTGGGTTTTTTGTTTGTTTGTTTGTTTGTTTTGCTTTTTGCTTTTTGGGTCACACCTGGTGATGCACAGGGGTTACTCCTGGCTCTGCACTCAGGAGTTACTCCTGGCGATGCACAGGGGACCATATGGGATGCTGGAAATTGAACCTGGGTCGGCCGCGTACAAGGCAAACGCCCTACCCACTGTACTATCTCTCCAGCCCCAGTGCCTGCTTTTTGATGGCTTCAGTCGCCGATCTAAATAGGTGTGACATTATACAGCTCAAAATATATCCAGTTGGCCCTTTACAGAAATGTTTGCCGACTCCAGTAGAGATTATTCACATTAATAATTAAATTATTTGTGCTAGTTGCATTTTTGAAAATGAAGTATTTTTATTTATGTTTTAATTGTCTTTATTACAATTTTTTATCTCTCAGTGTATTGAAAGTGAGAACACCTGGCGAGATTTGATGAAGACAGCTTTAGAAAATTTAATAGTACTTTTAAAGGATGAAAACACAATATCACCATATGAAATGTGTAGTAGTGGCTTGGTGCAAGCACTACTTACTGTTTTAAACAATGTAAGTATATGAAGTATTAATAAAATATTACGAAACAAGGCATACTGTTTTAGTGATAGAAATTATTGGTAGCTGAATTTTTGTCAGTGCACTGTTTACTTGTTTTGACCAGAAATAATAAAAATCTGAGTAGGAAATACTAATTAAATTTTATGCAGACTTTAAATTGTGTCATTAATTTGGACCACTTGAATTTCAGTTTTTCTCATAATATATGAAAAATATGCTACATTAATCTGTGGTACTAAAATTATGTGCATAATTATAAATTTACGTAACATAAAATTTGAGAAATGACTAAGAATATTATGTGACTATTTTACAATTATTTACTAAGGACCTTATATTTCTCTAGTCTGTACATGTCTTCAATATCTTCATTGTTAGAAAAGAATTTCTTTCTGTTACAACAATTTCATATATATAGGAATTTAAAATAAAAAGTGAAAGTTTCCTGACTAGGGATATGACTTAGCTGGAAGGCCACATGCTTTGCATGTTTGAGACACTAATTTCAATCCCCAGCATTGCCCCAGTTCTCAAAAAATAGCAAAAGTAAAATAAGCTAAAGTGAAAGTTGATTCTCACCCTATTTTGGTTTTTTTTTTTTTTTTTTTGCCATTTCAATTTCTTAATCATCCTATGTAGTAATATCCTCTTAAGATGCACTGTAAGGGAACACAGGTGTGTCTGTTTAGAGTGCATGTCTTACATGGGAGAGGCCATAGGCCCAGTTCTTAACAGTATAACAATTTAATTTGAATTTTAGCAGCCTTATTTTCTTGTTTAATGTTATCATTTTCACTTATTCTTATTGAAATTGTTGGTTTTTTATGGTATATCATATAGTAATAGCTGAAATGATTATTATGATATTCCAATTTTATTTTCTCTAATACTTAAGATAGTCTGGTCAAGTAGAAAATATTCATGTTATACTGTAAAATGAAAAACGATCATTTCTAAATAATCTGAAATTCACTTTGTCTTATACTTGGCAAAAAGAAAATGTTGATTTTATGTATATTATACCAATAGATTTATAATGTTTTTATTTATGCATAATTTGTGGATCACTTTTTATTAACAGCCTTAAAAAATTTTTGTTTTCTTTAGAGCATGGATTTAGATATGAAACAAGATTGTAGTCAACTAGTAGAAAGAATAAATGTTTTTAAAACAGCCTTTAGTGAAAATGAAGATGAAGAAAGGTAAACCCCCAGATTTCTCTTAATTTGATATTTGTGGTGTTTGCAATTTTTTTAAAAAAATAGCTTAAATATAATGTTTAAACATGAAGCTCTTTATTCATTTTTAAAAGTAGCATTTGTGTAATAAGAGAAAAGCTTTTAAAACATTAAGTCTAATGGAATAAGAAAAATTTCCATTTGTTATGCATAAAACTAACTGCTTGTTTTAAATTATATATATTGCTTTAATATACACTTGGTAGGGGTGGACATGTAGTTCAGTGATAGATGCCTCAGTGACGCCCTAGGTTTGATATAATCCTACTCACACAAAAGCTGTAAGTGGAGATTTAAATATTGATGGAATATTTGATGATAATTATTCATTCTTAAATATGGCAGTGATGTTTTTCAGCATTTTTTTTCCTTTTTGAGTCACACCCAGTGATGCACAGGGGTTATTCCTGGCTCATGCACTCAGGAATTACTCCTGGCGGTGCTCAGGGGCTTGGACTCGAACCGGGTCGGCTGCGTGCAAGGCAAAAAAAAACGCCTTACCCACTGTGCTATCACTGCAGCCCCAAGCATTCTTTTATAGAAAAGCAAACTTATAAAATTTCTGGATGAGGAGCCAGAGAGATAGTACAGCAGATAGGGCACTTGTCTTGCACATAACCCACCCAGGTTCAATCCCCAGCATGCAAATGGTTCCCCGAGTCACTCAAGAAGTGATCCCTGAGTCAGAGCTAGGAGTAAATCCCTGAACATTGGTGGCTCCATATTTAAAGAAAAATTTTTTTCAGGATTAAATGGCATGCTCTCTCGTATTGTCTTAAACAATGAGAATAAGTGACTAGGGACATTATAAATATTGAAGTTGACACCTGGTTTGATGCTATGTGATTTTACTATTTTATTTATTTATTTTTTTAATTTTTGGGTCACACCCAGTGATGCACAGGGGTCACTCCTGGCTCATGCACTCAGGAATTACTCCTGGTGGTACTCGAGGGATTATTTAGGATGCTGGGAATCGAACCCAGGTCGGCCACATGCAAGGCAAATGCCTTACTTGCTGTGCTATATCACTCCAGCCCCTATTTCATTTACTTTTTTTTTTTTTTTTTTTTTTTTGCTTTTTGGGTCACACCCAGCAATGCACAGGGGTTACTCCTGGCTCTGCACTCAGGAATTACTCCTGGTGGTGCCCAGGGGATCATATGGGATGCTGGGAATCGAACCCGGGTTGGCCATGTGCAAGGCAAACGCCTGACCTGCTGTGCTATTGCTCCAGCCCCCTCACTTACTTTTAAGTATGATTAGATCTTTAAAATCAGATTTAAGTGATTTTATATTGCTATGTCCACTGTCCTATACATTGTATATTATGGATTTAAAACAATTTTTCAAGTATTACTGCATTAAACATTTTTTAACTTTTTGCGAGTAGCTGTAATACTTAGATATAATTGTTATAATAGGATTAAGGTTTAAATAAATATTTTTATATTATATTAAATAGAATAAGTGAACTTTTTTAGTGGTATTATTGAATTAAGTAATATTTTCCCCCAGTAATTTTGGATGAGGTCTCCCAAGTGGTAATGTGGTGGCCTTGAGAGGGCAAGGGGCATGGCCTGCATAGCGATTCTTCACTGTAGCTGGTAATTCAGTGCTGAGGCCAGGGTTGAGGTGCTTCTCGGACTCGGTGGTGCCAGGGATTACCTGGGTCAGCCTGATAGTGTGGAGGCCTCCAGGACTGCATCTGACAAGACCTGGGGCACTGAGAGGTGCCATAGATCAAACTGGCAAGTCTTGCTCCTTAACTCCTAATTCTTGATACAGATAGTCAAATTATTTTACCGAAAACTTTACATCATTGATGCCTTGCCAGCAAGTATTGCTTTCAGAATTTTGCCACTTTATATATTTTTATAGGTATCGTATATTATATAACAGATTAATTACATGGATCACATTTTGTGATGAGTTTTATGAGAAACAATATTTTATTAAGCGTAAGAAATTGAGAGTATTTTTGACTGTTTAGATGTAATCTAATGAAAAGTTAAATGTTCTTAAAGTGTGAGTTCTTGTTGATATTGGTTATTATAGTTTTTGCATGAACATTTTTATATGAAAGTATATAGAAACTCTTCACAGTTATTTTTTTCCCCCGTAGTCGACCGGCAGTTGCATTGATTCGAAAGCTAATAGCGGTACTAGAATCTATTGAACGCCTACCTCTCCATTTGTATGATACACCAGGGTCCTCATACAACCTTCAGGTAGCCATGGAAAATAGAGTTACTATTATTGCTTAGTGCATTTAGGGGTGGTTTTATACTATTCTTAAAAATAAAATCTACTTTCATGTTGTATTAAATGATTCTGCTTAATCACTAAATACTTAAATGTCATTGAAAATTTCTTTGATTCCTGAATGTTAATGGCATTTCTACTTTCATTTAATCAGTTCAATTTGGATAGTATTGCATTATTTATCAATAAATAGTGTAAGCAGTAACTTACATTTGATATGTTGTAAGTAGAAAAGATGCTCCCTGAAAGTAGCAGGAAAAAATTAGATGCTTTACAGGACCAGAATAACAAATTGATATACCACAATAACAAAGAATCAATATCTGTTTTCTAATAAATGTTTTTAATTCTTTGGGAGGGCCAAGTGGTAGCAGAGATTGGACCTGAAGCTTCACACACTCAAGACATTTCATGACTGCAGCAATAGGACAGTGGATTGGGTGCTTGTCTTGTATGCGGCCCACCTGGGTTGCATCCCATATGGTCCCCTGAGCACTGCCAGGAATGATTTCTAAGTGCAGAGCCAGGAGTAACTCCCAACATGTAGACCATATGCCTTGTCACTAAATATTTTGTATTTTAAAAAAGTACATTAAGGGGCTGGAGCAGTAGTACAACAGGTAGGGCATTTACCTTGGACATGGCAATCCCGGGTAATCCCCAGGACAGTGTATTGTCCCCTAGTTCTGCCAGAAGAGACCTCTGAGTGCAGGGAAAGGGGTAAGCCGTAAGCACTATCCCTAAGCCCAAAAGCCAACCAAAAAATAAAATGGAAAAGTAAATGATACTTGGTTTTCAAGACAGAAACAAGGGTACTTAAGTTTCTAAACAATTTTAATAACTTTAAATAAAATTACTAAAAGCCAGTAATCTTTAAAAATTGCAAGAAAGTATTAAGTGTCGTTTTACTAACAAATATGTAGGGATAACCATTTTAGTTAGCAGTATTTTCTATATGAATCTTAATTTCTGTAGACACATGAATAAATATATGTGTAATTGTATCACAATATAAACATATGTGTATATGTATCACTGTACACTGTGAGATTTACCAGATACTTTAGGGGAGTTTTACAGTTCTTAGGGGGGGAAAAGCAATCTATTTTCTAACCATTCTGATAACTTTTGTATAGATACTTACAAGAAGATTAAGATTTCGGTTGGAACGTGCCCCTGGTGAAACTGCATTGATAGACAGAACTGGCAGAATGCTGAAGATGGAACCCTTAGCAACAGTTGAATCTCTGGAACAGTATCTGTTGAAAATGGTGAGATTTTCTCAGCCACCCAGTGAATTCAAAACATTTTTGTCAGGGTTTAACCTTTTAGAAAAGTAGTTTGAGAAGCAAGTATCCAGAGTAATGGCAGTACAGTTTGACCCAGTGATCCTGCTTTTGGGGATCTTTCCTTAAAGTAATCTTTATATACCACAGATGGTTTCTTTTTAAACAATACTAGTGAACAAAATAACATTGATCCATAAAAGGGTATAAAATTGATGATTCTACTAATTGAAAAAATCATGTAACTATTAAAATTTATACAGATTAATGAGGAAAATGTTTTTAATGGTATGATCAAGATTTTTTTTCCCTATCTTAAAATATAAGCTAGAGAGGGGCTGGAGTGGTAGTACAGTGCATAGGGCGATTGCCTTGCATTCATCCAACCCAGGTTCTTATTCCTGAGAACCCATATTTTCCTCTGAGTACCACCAGGAGTAATTCCTTTGTGCAGAGTATCCCTAGGTAAGGCAAAACAAAACACACACACACCATACACACACACATAAAATGTGTACATATAAAATTTATTAAAGTCATGTGTTTAAGTGGTGTTGACATTCATGATCTTGGTGTACATGGTTACTTGATCACCAACAATGTGCCCCACCCATGCCTGTCTCTTTTTTTTTTTCCCCAAAAATATTCTTGAGTATTTGTATTAATGAAATACTTTATGTTAAAGGAATGGGGGAGAGTAGGCAGTGAATTTACTAATGAAATGATGTGTGTTACTCATTTTCTTTGGTGTAGGTAGCAAAACAGTGGTATGATTTTGACCGATCTTCATTTGTTTTTGTTCGAAAATTAAGAGAAGGGCAAAATTTCACATTTCGGCACCAGCATGATTTTGATGAAAATGGTATCATTTATTGGATTGGAACAAATGCCAAGTAAGTGATTCTATATAATATGGAGATCATTTGTGTTTTAAAAAAAAAAACTGTAGTAGAATAAAATTGTTAACTACTGAGTTTAATTTTTCTTGAAAGTTTAACTGAATATCCAAACTATTTTTAGGAAGGAACAATATCTATATTATTAATTACCAAACTTTAATGTGAACCAATATTGTTATTTTGATAAGGTAAACTACTAATTTTTCTTTATTTTTTGTGTAGAACTGCCTATGAATGGGTAAATCCAGCTGCTTATGGACTTGTAGTAGTAACATCATCAGAAGGAAGAAATCTACCTTATGGCCGCTTAGAAGACATATTAAGCCGTGACAATTCAGCTTTAAATTGTCATAGTAATGATGATAAGAACGCCTGGTTTGCCATAGATCTTGGTCTCTGGGTGGTACCATCAGCATATACACTTCGTCATGCTCGTGGTTATGGAAGGTCTGCACTGAGAAATTGGGTTTTCCAGGTATCCAAAGATGGACAGAACTGGACTTCTTTGTATACCCATGTTGATGACTGCAGTCTCAATGAACCAGGGTTAGTTGCGGAGTCTTTGCAAACTGGAAAACTCAATAAAGAGTTTTAAAATTTTTTATAATTATATGCTCTTAGAGCTTCCTTATTTGTGAGATACTTAAGCTAGTAAGCTAGTCTGTATTCTAAAAAATGTCACTTGATGTCATAATTTAGGTATGAAGGTTTTTTTGCTTGATTCCAGAGATAAAATTTGGGGCCTTAAAGACTGTCAAAATCTTTAGATTAAACATGAGTGGTAAGCTGGGCTTGCTTATTGAGTGAAATTGTATATCTATAGCAAACTAGTTAAAAAACAAAAAAATTAAATGATCGTTTTGCTCAGTCCTCCAGTCAATACATTTGAATGTTTTTAAATTAGTAGTGGCAATTGCTAGTTATAGAATGGTAACTGAGTTTAAATCTGTCTTATTTTTATGGATCTTATCCTAAATTTTAATCTTAATTCATTCTTTAGTTTTGAGCCACACCAGTTAGTGTTTCGGGGCTCAGGAAACCATACGGTACTGGGGGTTGAACTTGGAGGTCCATTGTGCCAGACTTGTGCACTCTTGAGCCTTTCGAACTATCTCCCCAGCCTGCCCTATGCCTGTTTTGTGTTTGTGGAGGCAGGTAGAGTCTACAGCTGAGCTTCTCCCTGCCTTGAGCTTACGGGGTTCATTTCTGCCACTGCTGGCAAACTGTGAGTGTCAGCGATTGAACCTTGGGCTCCTGCAAGGTCAGCGTGTACTCCACTTTTGGAGCTCACTCCCTGGTACCATAACCTGTTTTTGGAGGGCCACAGTGCCAGTGTTCAGGAAGCCAAGCCAAACTCCTGTGGTGCAGGGCACTGGGTTTGCCTTGGCTCCCTGCAGGCCTCCTTATCTCTTATACTACCAGGCTTGTACTATTTTTAAAATAATGCCAATATTCAAAAATCTTCAGTAAGTTTAAATTGTAGAGTGTGATAAATTTTGGGAGGTAGAGTGTTCATTTACTGTCAATGTAGTATAGTAGATGCCTCTTAACATTATGATCATATTTTTAAGCTTTAAAGTTAAATTGCTGGTGCATTATTTAAAACTTTGTAAGAATGAAAACTTTTTAGTTGTAGGATATCTATTATTCTTACCAGTTTGTCTTCTTTAGTTTACTATGAATGAAATTAATAGTATACATTTAAACATTTCACCGTAATTTTTCTTTGTTTTCATCTTATTTTACAAAGATCTTTATCACATCTTTTTTTGTTGTTATTTTGGTTTTGGTCTCCACGTAGCAGTGCTCAGGAGTCACTCCTAGCTCTGTGCTCAGGGATTACTCTTAGTAGTGTTTATATGCTGTGCCAGGGATCTAACCCAGCTCAGCTGCATTAAAAGGCAAGTGCTTAAACCCCTATACTAGTTCTCTGGCCCGGTTTTTTTGTTTGTTTCTTAAAAAATATATGCCTTTGCTTATTTTCCTCCTTCCCTTCCCTTTCTTGTTATTTTTGCAATGCCGAGGAGTCTTATACTGTCCTAGCTCTATTTTATTGTATTTTATTTTTATTTATATATCTTTGTGCTGCTGGGGGTTGAGTTGAACCCGTTTTCATGTATGCAATTCATGTACTTTGCCACTAGACAACATCCCCAGCCTAGTTGCATTGCAAAAGCTTATTTTTTTTTACTATGTTTTTTTCTTTCTTCTTGGAGGGGAAGGGGCTTTTTGGGTAACACCCAGCGATACTCAGGGGTTACTCCTGGCTCTGCACTCAGGAATTACTCCTGGTGGTGCTCGGGGGACCAGAAGGGATGCTGAAGATCGAACCTGGGTCAGCCACGTGCAAGACTAATACCCTGCCCACTGTACTATTGCTCCAGCCCCTGTTTTTTTCTTTTTTGATTTCTTGATTTTTCTAATAAACTAATAGCTATATGAAAATTAGTGGATTTTGCTATAATTCTTTGTTGTATAATTTTACTTTACCTATTGTGTTCGTTATTTTTATCTGTTTCAAAACATTACACAATTTTTACGCTAACAACATTCACAGGTCAACAGCAACTTGGCCTCTTGATCCACCAAAGGATGAGAAGCAAGGATGGCGACATGTCCGAATTAAACAGATGGGGAAGAATGCTAGTGGACAAACACACTACCTCTCACTATCTGGATTTGAACTTTATGGGACTGTAAATGGAGTGTGTGAAGATCAGCTAGGTAAAGAGATGAAAGTAGATTATTCTAACAGGCGGATTTATGGTTTTTCTTTTTTAAATTTTTTGTTTGTAACTATGATTTACAGACTTATTGATAGTTGAGTTTTAGGCATATAATAGTTCAATACCAGCCCCATTGCCAGTGTCTGTATTTTCTTCTACCAGTGTTCATACTCCCTCCCCACTCCAACCCCAGCCCATCCTTGCCTTACAGAGTTTCAGTGGTTGCAGTTTAGATCTCACGTTTTCAGTTTTGTTGGGTTTGTGTTTTGGATTTATGGCTGTACCTGATGCCTTGAACAGTTGAATTTAGAAAAAATAATTTTGTTCATGTTCCTCTAATTTCTGTATTATAGGAAAAGCAGCAAAAGAAGCAGAAGCTAATCTTAGAAGACAGAGGCGTCTAGTACGATCCCAGGTTCTGAAATATATGGTGCCAGGAGCTCGTGTGATCAGAGGCCTTGATTGGAAATGGAGAGATCAGGATGGCAGCCCTCAGGGAGAAGGCACTGTCACAGGAGAGCTTCACAATGGTGAGTGGGTGCCTAGCATTTGCAGTGAAATATTTAAAGAAAGTATCTTTTATTATTTGGGCAAAATTTATGAATTGTAAAAGTGTGGCGGCACTGTGTAGAACTGGTTTATTGAGTTTTAAAAAGGGAAGATTATTTAGAAATAACAAAATTAAAAACTTTCACGTTCAACTTGAAATTTACTGATACTTTTTTATGATTAATGAGCTAATATAAGTTTAATAACATTTTCTGATTTATTTTTTAATTCATAGTTTTTTTTGATCTTTGTTTTAAATTTTTCTTATGGTTTTCTTTCTTGTACTATTCTATATCTTGTTAGCGTGACAGAAATTAGGGCGTCATTTTTTTTGTTGTTATTCTGTATGGGTCTTTTGTTTTGGGGGGGGGTCATACTGCTTGATGCTCAGGGGTTAGTCCTGGCTCTGAACTCAGGAATCACTCCTAGTAGTGCTTGGAGGACCACATAGGATGCCAGGGATTGAACCCAGATTGACTTTGTGCAAAGCAAAAGCCTTACCCACTGTACTATTGCTCCAGACCCTAGTCTGTATAAGTTAGATGGAAAACTAGTAACATTTTTAGTTACTGTCCTTTAGTAATGTATAGAACAAAATCTGACATCTTCCTTTATTAATGCATTGCACAGTATTTCAATGTTCACCAGCTTTTTTTTTTTTTGGATGCATCATTATACTTTCCTTTTCTGTACGGGCTCCTTTTGTGTAAATCAAGATTTTGGGGCGTTTTGTTTATGAGCCATACCTGGCAGTGCTCAGGTTACTCCTGGTTCTGTAGCCCCTAAATCATCTTTTTTTGGGGGGGGGAGTCACACCCGGTGATGCTCAGGGTTTACTCCTGGCTCTGCACTCAGGAATCACTCCTGGTGGTGCTCGGGGGACCATAGGGAATTCTGGGAATTGAACCCGGGTCCACCGCATGGAAGGCAAACGTCCTACCCACTGTGCTATCGCTCCAGCCCCTAAATCATCATTTTTAACCTTAGATAATACAGATTTTAGGGACATTCATATCTATTTAATAAACTGCTGGCTATTTCTTTTTTCTTAGAAGTTAAAAGACTGATACATTAACAAATAATTTCTCAACTAGGAAATAGAATCTTACCAGTTTTACCCAGCATTAAAAGTGGGTAGGACGTTTGCCTTGCACTCAGCCAACCCGGGTTCAATCCCTGGCCAACCCGGGTTCAATCCCATATGGTCCCCCTGCACCTCCAGGAATAATTCCTGAGCACAGAGCCAGGAGTAACCCCTTAGCATCTCTGAGTTTGATCCAAGAAAGGGAAAAGAAAAAAAAAAAAGTGAAGAAGAGGGCTGGAGCATTAGTACAGCAGGTGGGGCATTTGCCTTGCATGTGACTGACCTGAGTTCAATCCCTGGCATCCCATATGGTCCCCTGAGCACTGCCAGGTATCACTCCTGAGTGCAGAGCCAGGAGTATACCCTGAGCATCGCTGGGTGTGACCCAAAAAGCAAAAAAATAAAAATTTTTTAAAAAATAGAAGACTTTTTTTTTTTTTTTTTTTTTTGCTTTTTGGGTCACATCCAGCAATGCTCAGGGGCTCAGGGGTTACTCCTGGCTTTGCACTCAGAAATTACTCCTGGCGGTGCTTGGGGGACCATGTGGGATGCCGGGGATCGAACCCTGGTTGGCCGCGTGCAAGGCAAATACCCTACCCGCTGTGCTATCACTCCGGCCCTGAAGAATAAATGTTTTAATTCTCTCAACTTATATCAAATATTTAAAGGATTATAATAGAAGCTATAATATTTAGGAGAATAACTTTTATTGTCTTATTGTATTTATCTCCTTTGTGATTAGATTTGTTTACTTGCGTAAACAATTTTATTTTAATATTTTGTTTCTTGAATTATAGCCAAAATCACTTCCCTATTTATACTTGCAAATCATTATAATCCAAGCAGATTTGCAATGAGTGAGCATATAGCTCCCATAATTTGTAAAAATCATAATAATAATCGAGCTGTTGATAGTAGCATTTAAATCAGCAACTTCACATGTTTTTAGGCATCTTCACGGTCACGGTCCTCCCGTGGTTCATCAATTTGCTCTAGCGGGCCCAGTAACATCTGTCGTGAGACTTGTTGTTACTGTGTTTGGCATATTGAATATGTCACGGGTAGCTTGCCAGGCTCTGCCGTGTGGGCGAGATACTCTCGGTAGCTTGCCGGGCTCTCTGAGAGGGACAGAGGAATCAAAGTCGGGTCGGCCATGTTGGCTGCATGCAAGGCAAACGCCCTACCTGCTGTGCTATTGCTCTAGCCCTTTAGGCATCTTAATGCTAATATTTTTTTTCTCCCCTACATTGTTTATTTTTGCTTTGAAGTATTTGTGGACTAATTAAAAATATGTCAAGGCAGTTTATTTTTCTTAGACTGGAAGGAACTAGCTAGGAAAATTGGATTTTTTTTTCTTTTTTTCAATACTTGTAAAGAGAATTTTTCTTTTATTTATTTTTTAAATTTTACTGAATCACTGTGAGATAGTTACAAGCTTTTATATTTGGGTTACAATCACACAATGATGAAAATTGGAATCTTAATATACAAGTGTGAGAGAGAAAGAAGGACAGTTGCTAATCTGATGAATGAGAGATCTGGTTTACCAAAATGGCCACATGTTAGGCCATTAGTTAACACATTTAAGCCTTCAGAAAGGGGTCTTAGCCTCTAAGTACTTAAGCCTGCTGTTTAGAGCAATGGCTATTTATTAGTCACTATCTTTTTTTAATGTTTTAGACATGGATGTTCACAGTTTTGTACTTTTATACTTTTGTATTTGGATTATATCCAATAGTACTCAGATTCTGTGCTCGGGGATATTCCGAACAAAACTCTGGGCTTTGTGTGGTTCCAGGATCAAACGTGGGCCTCCTACATGCAAAGCATGTGTTCAGCCTTTTGAGCTTTCTCCCCAGCCCTGTACTGAAATACTTCAGTATAGTACGTCTGCATCTTTTCTTGCTTCACCTTTGATATTTATATAAATATATTCTGAAGCCTAATATGAGTGGTTTAGCTTTTTGAAATTGTTTTATTAAATTGCTGTTTCCTTACTGAAGAATCTGTGTGTTGGTAGGAATATTTAGTTGTTTTTTTTTTTTCATTTTAAAATGCATTTATTTGTTTGCAATATTATAGTTTAGCTTCACAACTCTCTGTGTGTGATGCTTACTCCTTGTTCCACCAGTATTCCTGTACCATTCCAACACCAAAAATAACAGTCTGCTCATTTATCTCACTCTCCTCCCTTTTCGCTCTGGCAATCACCATAAGGTTTCCATGAATTGGAGGATTAGTTTCTGTGGCTTTTTTGCCAGTTCGTTTGTGTTAGTAGTTCATACTTTATGAGAGGAAACATACAGGAACTTTTACTTTCTTTCTTTGCTTACCCTCAGGTACCATCTGATTGTCTCAAAAGGCATTATTTCATCTTTTTTTAGTGCAGGGTAGTATCCCATTGAGTGTAAATGCCACAGTTTCTTATTATTTAAAGATTGTCGGACAATTATTGACAGTGCCTAACAAAAAAGAATGATCTGTATCCTGGTAAAACTTAAAGATACGGTTAAAATTTTTGTCATTTTTTAGATTATTTCCTATTTTTATTGGGTTTGGGCTACATGTTTGAAACTTTCCTTTCCCATATTACAGAAAGGAGACAGTTAAATATTGGTTCTTCAGAATTCATTTCAGTATACAGAATAGCTTGAGGCAATTTGAAGTAACTTCTAGATTACGTATATTTAAGGCTAGAATTTTTCTCTTTCAATTTCTCATATGCAGCTAATCCCTATGTGCAATTGGATATTGCTTCTGTCCCCTCCCGTGCCTCATCAAAAACTTGTCTGAACTTGTGTGTGCACACACAGGAGTATGTGTGTGTGGCTAAAGTGCTTTCAAACTTTCTAAGAACTTGTTACGTATTTAAAATATATAATATATATATATATATTTAATGTGTTGTATTTTTCCCTGGAGTAGCCTATAATACTAAAATCAGGTTGTAACATTTCTTTTAATTTCTTTTTTATTAGACACCTTATTTTATTGCTTTTGGAAGTTAACATTTTTTAAAAAGATTAAACGTTTTCTGAGTACGAGCAAATGTAGTTTGAATGTCACTGTTTATTAGGTTTTTACACATTATTAGTTTTAGCCTGTAGGTTCTAATTAAAGAACTTGGCATACTTTCCAACTTTGTTTTTAAAATTTTCTGTGTTTATTCAAATTTACTCAAACCTAAAAGAATCAAGTAACTACTGAACTTTGAGAACACAACCGAAATGCTAACTTAGTGTTATTTGAGCTGGTTTATTTAATATTTCTAGTCATATGTAAATATTACGTGTTATTTTTATTATATAGCCCAAACTTTGAAATGAATGTGGTAAACCAGCAGGTTGTTCTGTTTTATTTTCTGTAAAAGACATTCAATCACAAAATCTTCTTTAGCATCAAAAAAACCCTTTTACTTAAAATTCATGTATACATGCTTAAGCATCAGTTCTTTTATAATTTTAATGGTTCTTTCACTTAAAAAACACCCAATAAATGTAAACATGACCCTTACATTGTTTTTAAATCACCAAGAGTGAACAGAACAGGAATAAGAAAATAAATGGAAGAATTTAACTTTAGTTGGCAGATCTTAAATAACTATAAAACCTCAGAGAAGTACAGCAGTGATGAAAAGCTGATCCCATATTGTGGAGCTACTGTCTGACACGCTCCTATCTGCTTTCTGCTGGGTCTCACAAACTCCTGTCCCTTTCCAGGCTGGATTGATGTCACCTGGGATGCTGGTGGCTCAAACTCTTACCGTATGGGCGCAGAAGGAAAATTTGACCTCAAGCTTGCACCAGGGTACGACCCTGATACAGTGGCATCACCCAAACCTGTTTCATCCACTGTTTCAGGCACAACGCAATCATGGAGCAGCTTGGTGAAAAACAACTGTCCAGACAAGACATCAGCTGCTGCAGGCTCCTCAAGTAGAAAAGGAAGCAGCAGTTCTGTGTGTAGCGTGGCCAGTAGCAGCGACATCAGCTTGGGTTCGACCAAAACGGAACGGAGATCAGAAATTGTAATGGAACACAGTATAGTTTCAGGAGCTGATGTCCATGAACCAATTGTTGTTCTTTCATCTGCTGAAAACGTCCCTCAAACAGAAGTAGGGTCATCTTCCAGTGCAAGCACCAGCACCTTAACCGCGGAAACGGGAAGTGAAAATGCTGAAAGAAAGTTAGGCCCTGATAGTTCTGTTCGTACTCCTGGGGAGTCTAGTGCAATATCCATGGGAATTGTTAGCGTTAGTTCTCCTGATGTTAGTTCAGTATCTGAATTAACTAATAAAGAAGCAGCTTCACAACGACCCCTTAGCTCTTCAGCAAGTAACAGACTGTCCGTGAGTTCTCTGTTGGCTGCTGGGGCCCCCATGAGCTCTAGTGCAAGTGTTCCTAATCTGTCCTCAAGAGAAACATCTAGCTTGGAGAGTTTTGTAAGGAGAGTGGCAAACATAGCACGGACTAATGCCACGAACAACATGAATCTAAGCCGAAGCAGCAGTGATAACAACACTAATACTTTGGGGAGGAATGTGATGAGCACAGCAAGTAAGTGAGCTTTTCCTTATGGAACCCAATGCTTTTTCCACTCAGTGCTACCAAGTAGGGTTTCTTATCTAGTAGATTCTGACTATTGTCTTTAACTAGATTATTAACCATTTTAGCTACAACTACATCAAATTCAGCATTTCACGAATACAAAATTAAGTTCTATAGAATAATTTTAAGATTTCAGATCAGGTGTAATAAAGAACCTCTTATTCTGAAAGAATGAAACTTAAGTTGCTTCTGTTTTTCACTCTGATAAATCATTAAGTATAGTTGCATGAGGAAGTAAATGACTATTAACTAACATCACAGTCAGCTGAAACCAGAGCATATGCTGGTCTAACTTTTATTTAGACCTAAATTGATATTAGCTTGTCAAAGTTTAAATAATTTTGATTTAAGCTACTAACAACTCAAATGTAATTCCCTTGAATTTTATTACCAGTTTCACGTCTTTAAAAAGTTAGGCTTGATTTAAAAAAAAAATAATAACAGTTTTATAAAACTAAAAATTTTTAGTTGGATTTCAGTTGGGTTCCCAAAGTTGTTGCTTTTCAACGTTTTAATAATGTGTGCTAAGACCTTATTTTATTTTCTAAATACAAAATCTGTTTTATTTAAGGTTTTTACAGTCTCACCTATTTGTACTGACGTGCTTCATTTTTTTCTTTAGCTTCTCCTCTTATGGGTGCCCAGAGTTTCCCTAATTTGACCACACCTGGTACTACATCAACAGTGACTATGTCAACGTCCAGTGTTACTAGCAGCAGCAATGTAGCTACAGCAACAACAGTTTTATCGGTTGGTCAGTCACTTAGTAATACTTTAACCACCAGCCTTACATCAACCTCCAGTGAGAGTGACACAGGCCAGGAAGCAGAATATTCCTTATATGGTAAGTGACAGTTTTAAATATTTAGATATTTACCCGTGATGTATTCAATATGCCAAACACAGTAACAAGGCTCAAAATGGAGACGTTAGTGGGCCCGCTCGAGCAAATCGATGAACAACGGGGTGACAGTGACAGATATTTACTGAGTGATTCCATAATATTTTTCATTATATTTTTCTGTTGAGTGTTTATGAACCTTTGATTGGAAAAGAATTACTTTCACTTATAAGTATAGTACCTTTAAGATTGAAAAACATATGAGGCTCCGTGAATTGATTATAAGTAGACATCTGGGGCTGGAGAGACAGAACAGTGGGTGAGACATTTACTGTGAATGTGGCAACCCCACTTCCATCCCAGACTCTACACGTGGTCCCCCAAACCCTGCTGGGAGTGATCTTTGAGCATAGAGCCAAGAGTGAGCCCCTGACATTGGTTGGTGTGGCTCTCCCCTCCCCCTCACCAAAAAAAAATATATGTACCAATGAAATAACTATGGATAGTGTTGCCTTTTCTTATACCTGTCTAGTAAAAGGCATTGCATATTTAGTTCTAATTATTAGACTTAAAGTTATATATTGAGAAATATATGTGTGTGTATATATTTATTTGACCCAGAGCCTTTTCAGTTCTGGTTCCTAAACAATTAGGAATTATATTCTTCTTTTTCGGTGGACGGGCGGGTACTCTGAGCTGAGATGTGAGCCTGTCAAGTGCTGACTGGACCTGTAGCAGCGAGGATTGAGCTGGGCCATGGAGCTCATGGGCTCTGGTCCTTGTTTGCTTCTTTGTTTCTGGTCACACTTCACTGTGCGAAGGGACAGCTCCAACTCTGCCCTAGGTTCTCTTCTGGAAGTTCTCAGGGAATCATGAACTGTTCGGGGTTGGTCCCAGACCTGCTCATGCTAAGAATGTGCTTAGCCTGTTGAGCTCTCTCCAGCTCAGCGCTTTAAGTCTTCAGTTTGGGGGTGGGGGAGGCGCACCCTGTGGTGCTGGGGATTGCACTGGGACTCTTCCATGCAGAGTATGTGTTCAGTTCGGTTAGCCGTCTCTCTAGCCCTGGTATTTTCTTTAAGAGCCAGTAAATGTTTTAGTTTCACTTTTCCTTTTTTGTTTTCAGTTTGAGATATAATGAGACTGTAAAGGGATAATAAAATTGAGCATCTTTGTTATGAGAGACAATGTAAATTTGACCCTATATTTATTTAGGTGTGAGGCAGTAAGATCTTAAGAAGGAAGGCCACATAAAGGATTGTTTTGTTGGACTTCTTCATGCACAATATAACATGAAAAAGAGTCCTCCTTACTTCTGTCCCTCCACTATTCTTTCCCCTTTCCTTCCCTCTCTCCCCACACCCAGGGTGCTGAGAGTCACACCTGGCCTTGTTCTCAGGGGTTGCTCCTTCGATGCTGGAGAGCAAACCTGGAGTTCTTGCCTGCAAAGCCTGCACCCAGCCTGCTGAGCCATCTTAAGCCCAAATGTTATTCTTTAAGCAATAAGTTAGTCCTTAAAGTTAATCCTTAAGTAATCTGCCAGATCATATAGCTAAATTCCTAACTCTGATTCATTCTTTCAATCCTATTCTTTTCTCTCATCTTTCAGTCATTTTAAAATAAAACCCATATTGTTAACCAAAAAAAAATTCTTTTTTTAAGTGTTACGAACCATGATATATACGATGCTGTTGATAGCATTTCATGCAGAGACAATATTCCAGTGCCACACCCTCTGCTAGAGTGTCCCCCCCTACTCCTTAATCTACCCTCCTCACCCACCAGGGTAAACTTGTGCTGACCTTTTATTTATTTATTTTAAAAATAGTTTTTTATTTTCCATTACTCTAGTAATTTACATACTTTCGGGGGTGATGGGGATCACTCACACCTGGTAGTGCTCAGGGGTTATTCCTGACTCTATGCTCAGTAGTTTATGTGGTGCTGGGAAAAGAACCCAAGTTGGCCACATACAAGGACACTTACTGCTGCTGTACTGTCTCTCCAGCCCCCCCTTTTTTTAACAGTGATCATCTTATTTAATATTTGCACAAATCCTACAAAACAGATGATTATTGTGATAATTTCACAATTTATAAAGTCACTATCCTCAAGTCAGTGAGCTCACTCAGGTGTTCTACTCTTAGCTCTGAAAAGCTGAAATTTTAACCCAGAAAGACTCGTAACTACAATGCATATATTCTTCCCTCCACATTCTTCAGCCCCTTTTATAGAGTCATATTTAGTTGACGTCATCCTTTATCCTATGCTGTTTTCTGCCATCCTTATGGCTTGCTGATATTGTTTCTCGTCTTGTTTGTGTGGTGGTGGAAGAATTGAGTGGCATAATAATAGTTTTTATATTTGTTCATTTTGAATTTAATTTTTTTTTATAACCCATACACAGTTTTGTTTTTGTGTTGTGAATGCGGTTGTTTCTTTTGGTTTCTAGATTTCCTTGATAGCTGCCGTGCCAGTACTCTGCTAGCTGAGCTAGATGATGATGAGGATTTGCCAGAGCCAGATGAGGAAGATGATGAAAATGAAGATGACAATCAGGAGGACCAAGAATATGAGGAGGTTATGGTAGAGAGAAAATCCACCATTCTTTCTTTGGGCTGTGGAGCAGGGGTGGTACACCTGAGGGTGGTGCGCAGGGTTTACTCCTAGTTCTGTGCTCAGGGATCCCTCCTGGTGGGATTTGGGGGCCATATGTGGTGCAGGGGATCAAACCCAGGTCAGCCATGGGCAAGGCAAGAGCCCTTCCCACTGTATTATCTCTGGCCTCCCTCTGTTCTTTTAACTAAGATAGGATGTAATAATTGAAATAAGGAGTGGGAGAAAGATCTCTGGAGCACATGCTTTTGCATGGGAATGCTCCTGGTTTGATTCCTGGCATTCCATGGTCCCCCTCTCCCACCCACCCCCCAATAAGCACTGAGTCAGGTAACACCCATGCACTGCTGGTGGGGGCCCCAAAATAAAACAAAGCAAAAAACAATTGAAATGAGAAGAGGAAAAGCAAAGTCCTAAATGAACTTTGAAGTGAGGAAATTTGGTTCCAGTATAAAAAATACAGAAAATTACTCCCTTCCCCTGCACCCTTATCCTCCTTGAGTGCCATGGGTGGAAATCAAGGTCTTACACACACACACACACACACACACACACACACACATACACACACACAAACACTTAACCTGGACATTCATGATTCTTTTTTAAATGAAAATAAACTTGTTTATGGGTTGGAGAGATAGTATAGGGGTTAAGGGGCTTTCCTTGCATCCTGCCAACCCTGGTTATGTCCCTGGTATCACATATGAGGTCACTTCTGAGTACTACTGGGTGTGACCCAGCCCCTCCCCCATGATTTGTTTACGTTTGAAATATACAGTGCCACATGCTGATGTTTTGTAAGTTTTTAGAGCACATGTTTTATATATCAAAGTTTGTGTGTAGGAGCTCCAGGTTAAATATCTGGTACCTGAACAGTGCCAAGGGAGGCCTTTAAGGACAGCACCTTTGGGTGAGGGCCCCCTTCAAAAAAGAGAGGATGCACACACAGACACATACACATCACATACACACACAAACACACACACTACCCTGGTATATTTGTTTTGATGGGGGGGAGGGCAGACCTGGTAATGCTCAGGGCTTACTTCTGGCTCTGCGCTCAGAAACCACTCTTGGCGGTGCTTGGAGGACCATATGGGATGCTGGAGATCCAACCCGGGTCAGCTGCGTGCAGGGTAAGAGCCTTACCCACTGTACTATCTCTGAGGCCCCCTAATTCAGAAAATTTTTTGTATATTTGGGGGCCACACCTTGGTAGAACTCGAGGGCTGTTCCTGGGTGTGTGCTCAGGGGACCTTATATGTTCCTGGGGATCAAACCAGTGTTGGTAACATGCTGGGCAAGAAGAATAGAAAATTTTTACAATATTACACTTGAGATTTGCTAGTACCTACTGTTTATATAAATTATAACTGTATTAAATTGACATTCCTTACACAGAACTGTAAGATAGAGGCATAAAAATAGGTGTTCTCCAGGAAAATAGTACAGAGGACTGGAGTATATCCTGTCTTCCATCAACCCCAGGTGTGACTGCTGGCATCATAGATCCTCGGTAGCACTACGTGTGTAGCACCGATGACCCCCTGTGCTGTTTGGGGTCCTCCTCATCCCCCAAAAAATAATTTGCTCAATTTTCAATTTTAGGCTCTCTGATTTACAGTACTGTTAGTGACAGGGCTTCCTGCATAACAGCCCAGCATCACACCCTCTACTAGTGTGTCCCCTTCCCTCCACCAGTGTCCCACTGGTACCATACACCCTCACTCCAACCCTTTCTCTCCCTGTGGAAAACTTCGGCTAAAGCTCAGTTCTGTTTCCTTCCTGTTTCTGTTGCCTTGGGGCATTTGTTAATACCCTGCTATCATTCTTTGTATCCCACGAAGGGAGAGGTCATTCTGTGTCTGGCCCTTTGCTTCTAACTAATTTCTCTTAGCCTGATAATCTCCAGATCTAACCACATAGCAGCAGATTGCATAATTTAATCTTTTCTTTTAGCTGGGTAATATTCCATTGTGCATATGTATCATAATTTCTTTATCCAGTCATCTGTTATTGGATATGGATTGTTCTTAGATTTTGGCTATTGTTAAGTAGTGCTGCATTCAACATAGGAGTGTAAATGTCTTTTCTGAATGTTGTTTTTGAGCCCTTGGGTAAATTCCAAGAAAGGGTCATATGGAAACTCAGTTCCTGTTTTGATTTGTTTTGCTTTCGTTTTGGACCACAACCAGCTATTTTCAGGGTTTACTCCTGGCTCTGTGCTCAAGGATCATTTCTAGAGAGCTCAGGAAAACCATATGTGGGTCAGGGATTGAACCTGGGTCAGCCATGTACAAGGCAAGTGCTCCACCTGCTGTGCTACCTCTTTCTCAAGATGGCTAATGAATATAAAGGGTTTTTTTTTTTCCTTATTTTTATTTTTGAACGCACACCTGGCAGTGCTCATGGGCTAGTCCTGGCTCGGTGCTTCGGGGTACCAGATATCAAACCAGATTCACTCCAGCCCATTGAGCTATATCTCTAGCCCTGATTGTGAATATTGTTGTTTTTTTGGGGGGGAGCGTTGTGGGGACGGACCTATAATTGCTCAAGGGCTGTCCTGGTTCTGTGCTCAGAGTCACTTATAGCAGTGCTGAGGGAGCCACACACAGTGCACCAGATTGAACTGGGGTCAGCCATGTGTCAGGCAAGCACTTTAACCCCTGTACTATCTCCCAGGCCTCAGTGTGGAGTTTTTTTAAATAGCAGTTTTGGTGATTTGGTTGATAGTTTCAAGTCAAAGTTAATAAAGAGAGATAAATACACTGGCCCAACAATCGAATGCATCTTTGCACGTTTTCCTTTCTTTCTTCAGATTCTGCGCCGTCCATCCCTGCAGCGTCGAGCTGGCTCCCGCTCTGATGTCACTCACCATGCTGTTACCTCCCAGCTGCCACAGGTGCCTGCTGGAGCAGGGAGTCGGCCTATCGGTGAACAGGTAATAATACCTCAGTTTCTCTTCCCAACTGTGCATTCTCCTCTTCACAGTAAAGCATAAGCCAAAGTGCATAGAAAAACAAAAAAGGGTGGTACTGAGTCTCTAATGAGAGGAGCCTCCGCAGTGCTCGTGTCTCCCATGGAGTCCGTGATTGCAGTTTGTGTTGAATATATATTTCTTCAAATGCCATCTTGGCTTTTCTTTTTTCTTTCTTTCTTTTTTTTTTTTTTTGTTAACGTCTTTTTTTTAATGCCTCCCCCACTTTGTTTTGTACACTGTGGATCACACACTTGGCTGTGATAATGTCTAGTAACTGTTGTGGTCTGTTTCCTGCTACCCCTTTAAGGGCCAAGATGGGACTCGAAGGGTGGAGCAAGAGCCTAGGTTGTCTAGTGGTTGGAACCAGCCATGGTGCTCGCCAGGGATTAAACTCTCTAGCTGTGGCACACAGCACACACACTGTGATGCTTACCAGGGTCATGATGATGCTGCCACATGCCTGGCTCACAGCTCTTTCTGTGATGCTCACACACACTTGGCTGTCTTGCAGCCAGAAATCATTTTTGACTCTGGAGCAGAATGGACAGATTTCACTCAGTGTATATGAGCTTTGGATATCTGACCATAGGCTCATAAGGCAGGCATTCTAGGCTCTTGCTCTACTCCTCTGAGTCCTATCTTGGCCTTTGAGTAACAAGGAAACAGACCAAAATGGTTACTAGCGATTGTCAAGTATTTATAGCTTTTATAATAGCAGTAGAAGTAGTATTAATATTATATGATTTTATGTTTTAGACACAGTTCTCAATATATTAGATGTTTTTAGTATTTTAAGTCAGCTTAATTTTATGGAACTTTTTTTTAATGGAATCACTATGAGATACACAGTTACAGAGTTCTTTATGGTTGAGTTTCAGCTATACAGTGTTCCAGCACCATCCCTTCAGTACACATTTCCTGCTACCAATATACCCGGTTTACCTCCTGCCAGCTCCCCCCACCCTGCCTCCGCAACCTTCCTCTGTGGCAGATTCTCTCTCTCTCTCTCTCTCTCTCTCTCTCTCTCTCTCTCTCTCTCTCTCTCTCTCTCTTTCTCTCTCTCTCTCTCTCTCTCCCCCCCCTCCCCTTCTTTCCCCTCCTTCTTTCTCCTCCCCCCCATTTTCATCTCCTCTTTTTCTTTTAGGCACTGTGGTTTGCAAGTGTTACTGAAAGGGTAATATGTATATTGCCCTTTAAGCACTGTTTTTATGGAGTGATAATTTCTACATATCATTGTCATAATGGTCCCTACTTCAACCTAACTGCACTCTCCCCCCTCCCTTTTTGTGGCTAGCTTCCTATCTTGGACCAATCCTCCTGGCCCTTGTTTCTACTGTCTTTGGGTATTATTTACATGCTATGTGTTTTTGTTTTTGTTTTGTTTTTTCATTCTGCAAATGAGTGCAGTCATTCTCTATCTGTCCTTCTCCTTCTGACTCATTTCATTCAGCATGATACTCTCCATGTCCATCTGAATATAAGCAAATTTCATAACTTCATTTTTCCTAATAGCTGCATCATATTCCTTTGTGTAGGTATACCAGTTTTTTGTGTCTTCTCATCTATTCAGGCACTTGGGTTGTTTCCAGTGTGTACTAGCCACAATTTTCAGATTGTTTGTTAATGGTCATATATAAACTTTTGGATCCAGGATGAAAATTCAGATATTCTAACTCCAGAGCTGTCAGATATCAGTTTGGCTTGTTATAAGTAATTTCAGTTAAATAGTCAAAATACAAGAGTCTTCAGGTAATTAAATAGTCAGTAGTTAAATAGTCAAAATACAAGAGGCTTCCAAGGTGAATCAGGCTTTTAGGATTCATCTGTTTTCAAATGCCCATTGATCTGGTCTTAAACTCCTGGAAAGAGATGAGTGGAGCAACTGCTTCCTTTTTACCTCTGAAAAACGTCCAGAGTTCAAAGGTACTATATTGTCGATGGTCTGCTTGTTTGCTACAAGGTCCATAAGAATGATTTATGGGGGGGGAGGGGAGCCTGGAGTGATAGCACAGCGGGTAGAGGGTTTGCCTTGCACATGGCCTGACCCAGGTTTGATTCCCAGCATCTCATATGGTCCCCCCAAGCACGGCCAGGAGTAATTCCTGAGTGCAAGAACCAGGAGTAACCCCTGTGCATCACTGGGTATGACCCAAAAAGCAAAAAAATAAATCAATAAATAAAAAAGAATGATATATGGGGATCTGCAAGTTTTATTTCTTGCAGAAATAAAACTTCTGTCTGAAATTAGAGTTTTGAAGAAAAAGACAAGGTACATATAATTGAATCAGCTTTTAGAAGACATCAAAATGAGAACTCACAAGGCTCAAGGCTCTGGGTTTGATCCCCAACATGGCTCAGCACCCTCTCTCCCAGCACCACTTTATGTGGTGTTAGGTGGTGACCACCAGCATAACTAGGCTTGAGCAGCACATTGCAGTCTTGAGCGATGACTTTCGGGCTCATTGCCTGGCTGAGTAATGATGGGGTGCCTCCAGACTTCCTCAGTAATATTCAGGAGACTCCTCTGACCCCATCCCTATAAGAAAGACCAATCCCAGTTTGCTCCCTGGTACCCCCAATGGTTCCCTGAGCATCGCCAGTAGTGCCCTCTCCAGAAAAGAATTTTGAAGTTAAGTTCTTGTACAACCTAGCTATTTGACTTACTTAAAGAGCTGTGTGTACAGGACATAATATGATTTTATTTCTTAAAATTATTACAGTAGATACTTTAAAACATAGTTCAGGGGCTGGAGCGATAGCACAGCGGATAGGTCGTTTGCCTTGCACGCAGCCAACATGGCTGACGCAGGTTCGATTCCCAGCATCCCATATGGTCCCCCGAGCACCGCCAGAAGTAATTCCTGAGTACATGAGCCAGGAGTAACCCCTGAGCATCGCCGGGTGTGACCCAAAAAGCAAAATAAATAAATAAATAAAGTGTTGTTAAAAAAAAAAAAAACATAGTTCACTGATCTCTTTTTTTGCTTACTATAAAAGAGGTGAAGAGGAGACTGTTCCTTCAAGAAATTTTGTTACAGAAACTTTTTTTAAAGCTGTTTAACAAAATTGTTATGGGTAGTAGTTTAAAGTAGCTCCCAAGCATTATATCATTTTGTATATAATTTAGCATATAATGGGGTTTACTTGTTTTTTAGAAAGCAATATATTGAGGGATGGGTACTTGATCATTGTATAACTGAAACCCAAGCACAAAAATTTGTACATCTACAACTGTACCTCATGGTGTTTCACTAATAAAAATTTAAAAAAAGAAAAGCAATAGATTGGACTGGAGAGAAAATACAGGGATTAAGGCACTTACTTTGCATGTGGCCAAGCCTCATTTAATCTCAGACACTGTATATGGTCCCCTGAGCACTGTCAGAGTGATCCTAAGCACTGCCACCAGTGGTTTCAAATGTTGTTTCAAAACAAAAACAAAAAGTAGTATATTTAAAAATAATAAGTGTAGGCTCACAAGGTTACAGGAAGTTGCAGAGATAGTGCAGAGGGGTCTTATGTGCTTTTTGCCCAGTTTTTCCCAGTGGGTACAATTTATAGAGAGTGTGGCATCATACTATTTAAGTTGTCTAATTTGTTTAATATATGTGCAGTTCTTGGTTTAATATATGTGCAGTGCTTCTATTACATTTTAGCAAACATTTTGAATTGTTAAATACCACGAATGCAACTCCTTTTTTTCTTTCTCTTTTTACTTTTTAAAAATTTTGGGCCACAACCAGAGATGCTCAGGGATTTCCCCTGGCCTTTGAGCCATCTATTTGGTTCTGCAACTTACTTTTAATAAGTTAAAATCATTAAGTGCTATGTACGTTTATATTGGGTCATTTTTTGCTTAGGAAGTAAGGCTTGGGACTGAAAATGTAGCTCAAGTTAGGTAGAGCCATGCCCTGGACTAGAAGGCCATGGATTTAGTCCCGAGCACTTTGTGCCCCTACCCCCTGCCCTAATACCAACCAGGTTGTTCCCCACAAGCTGTTCAAAGACAGAAAAGAAGTCTGACTAAGAAAAGGCTAGTAACTATAGAGACTGCTTAGCATACGTAATTTCTGCAGTAATGGCAAGTTTGGGGTTGGTTTGTTTTGCAGCCACCCCTGGCAGTGCACAGGGCTTACCACCTTCCTGGCTCTTTGATGAGAGATCACTCCTGGGTGTGCTTGGGTGACCATATATGGTGCCAGGAAACAAACGGGTGCATGCAAGGCAAGCATCTGCCTTAACTCCTGTACTATCCCTGTGGCCCCAGTAATGGAAAGCTTTATCTTTCAGTGTTTGTGTATGGAATTTTAATAGGAAGAAGAGGAATATGAAACTAAAGGAGGACGCCGGAGAACGTGGGATGATGACTATGTGTTAAAGCGGCAGTTTTCTGCTTTGGTTCCTGCTTTTGATCCTAGACCAGGCCGTACAAACGTCCAGCAGACAACTGATCTAGAAATTCCACCCCCAGGTACAGTATGTTTTAGTTTCTGTGATTTAGTTTGAGTAGATAACAAATAAGGTAGAAAAATAAAGGGTCCACTGTTTGTGAATAAAAGGTTTCAGGAAAACTGTTTCTCTCCCAAAACCTTAAAATTATACAGATTTATTAAATAAATCTGCATAATGGGGGGGGGGCTTTTTGGGTCACACCAGCATTGCTCAGGGGTAACTCCTGGCTCTGCGCTCAGGAATCATTCCTAGCAGTGCTCAGGGGACCATATGGGATGCTGGGGCTCGAACCAAGGTCCCCTTCGTGAAAAGCAAATGCCCAACCCTCTGTGCTATCCTTTCAGCCTCAAAATCTGTATAATTTTAAACCTTACCTTTTCTGCTTTGTGTGATAACCAGGGATCACATGAGGTTTTGTTTTTTTGTGGAAGGCTTTATAATTGATTGTGGTGCTCAAAACACCCTTTGGTTGCACTGCTTCCCAGGGGTTACACACTTAAAGGGATCACTATTTGGATGTAGCATCAGGAATCACAAATGCCGTTGTCATAAAGGTCAAAAATGGCTGTGCCACTATGGGTGGGTCAGTACCAGGGATCAGACTTCAGCCTCAGGCCTTGTGCTTAATGCTTACAGAGCAGGTACTCTTCCACTGTCTTTTGGCTCCCTACAGATTCACGTTAAATAAGCAAATGTTTATGTATGAGTTTATGTATTTATGTATGAGTACTTCTATTTATTTGGGGTGGGGAAGCTACACCCGGTGGTTCCCAGACCTTACTCCTGGTTCTGTGCTCAGATCACTCCTGGTCGGGCTCAGGGAACCATATGGGTTGCCAGGAATTGAACACAGGTTGACCACGTGCCAGGCTAGTGCCTTATCCACTGTACTGTCTTTTCAGCCTTATTGGTGTACTTAAAGAGCAAGGTCTTAGTCAGAAGTGGTTAATTTATATTCTGTTTTCTTTTTGAGGGGAAAGGCACATCCAGCAGTGCTCAGGGGCTGTTTCTGGCTCTGTATCTGGGATTCGAACCATGGTGGGTTTAATCCATACTAGCTCTCTGTCCCCTGTATTCTATTTTCTACTGGGTCCAAATTGCCATCGATTTTTCTTTTTCTTTGGAAAAGCTATATAGTGGTTTTAGTTATGACTTCTGAAATTAGCTTGGGTGGTACTCAAATCTTTCACAAATCTATATTGGATATGCTAGGGACACTAGTTGCTCCCATCCCACAAAAGAGACTTGAAGTCCTTATCTGCTGAATCAGAAATAGGGCCTGATTGATAATATATTGGGTAAGACACTTGATATACCATTAGATATATCATGACCTAATTGTGTGTATTTGATATGTTTACAATCTACTTACTCATTGTAAGAAAAGGTTGACAGGCTATTCACCAGAATGTGTGGTTTTATATGAATATAGAAGGAATAATTTCTGCTTTCTCATTTATAAAAATGTCTCTAAAAATAATAATTAGCATGTTTTTACTAATAAAAATGGAGTTCATGTCATTATACAGAAATACCATATTTTAGTGTTCTGTCATCTCCATTTTTGGCAGTGCAGGTTCTCAAACCAATGGGATCTCATAGGTACAAGTATTCCCAACTTGCAAAGCAAAAAACAAATTGTGTTGAATCCAGGAGAGAGTTACGGAGTTGACATCTTAATTTTTTAAATTTTGGGAGTTTCTTTGTTTGTTTTCAAACCACACCTGGCATACTCAAGGCTTACTACTGCCTCTGCACTCAGGAATCACTCCTGGCAGTGCTAAGGGCACTGTATGTGTTGCCAGGAAATGAGCCTCGGTTGGCTGTGTGCAAGGCAAGTGCCTTACCCACAATACTATCTGGCTCCAGTAGTTGACATCTTTAGCTAATATATCACAGAAGAATTTGGATTTCATGTAACTATATCTCCTAATGCAGTCTTTTCTAAACTATTTTAATTCATTATTTTGCATGTGTTCTATAATTTTAGGAACACCTCATTCAGAGCTCTTGGAAGAAGTTGAATGCACTCCATCACCTCGTTTATCCCTTACTCTGAAAGTAACAGGTCTTGGAACAACTCGTGAAGTTGAATTACCTCTAACTAATTTCAGATCAACCATCTTTTACTATGTACAGAAATTGCTTCAGTTGTCTTGCAATGGCACCGTGAAATCAGACAAACTTAGGCGTATTTGGGAGCCAACATACACGTAAGAGATTCTAACTTAACATTTAAGTAAATATTTTCTTAGGAAGTATTCTGTAGAAGCATTGCAATTCAATAATTTGGAATGTAGGACCATTCCTTGTTCAGGAATACAATTCTTTATTCTATTTTCCCTCATGTGTAACAGTATTTTTCTTATAAATTCTCCCTGAGTTAGTGTTTGCTGTTAATATGGCTAATGATCTCACACATTTTTAAAGAAGCCTTATGAAAATAACCATAAATGATTTTATGAGTTAACTTGAATAATATTTTTATATCTAGAATCATGTACAGAGAAATGAAGGATTCTGACAAAGAAAAGGAAAGTGGAAAAGTGGTAAGCTATTTTTTTTTCTTTTTAGAAAAATCTGTTTTACCGGTACTTTGTTAAAAAAAAAAAACTGGTTAAAACTAACACTCTCAGTTAAACATTTGAGGGAAAAAAATACCATGAATTCTTTAGGTTAAATGCATGGTCCTAAAGCTACCTCATATAGTGCATGTGAAATAAATTTTACAGTAAGGAAAGGCCAACATTTGGTTTTTCCTGTTGTAGGGTTGTTGGTCTATTGAGCATGTGGAACAGTACCTTGGCACTGATGAATTACCAAAGAATGACTTGATAACCTACCTGCAGAAGAATGCAGACGCCGCTTTCCTGCGCCACTGGAAATTAACTGGCACTAATAAAAGTATTAGGAAAAACAGAAATTGTTCTCAGCTCATAGCTGCATATAAGGTATATTTTGGCATTAGAATAATACTTTGATTGGGAATGGCTTTGTGCTTTTTTGGGGGGTGACAGCTTTTTAAGATTTTTCATGATTAAAAATTCATTGGGAAAAACTAAAAAAATTAGAAAATTAAGTTAATCAACATTAACATGCCAAAGCTAAAAATTTCAAATATATGGTTTGTGGCATTGAAGCTGACTAATTTCAGATCTGTAGAACATAGTAGTTATGTTTAAGGATTTTATTTTGGTAAATTTAATTTTAGAACACATTTATTTTCCATTTTAATGATAATTGCTTTACAAAGGAGATTATTTGAAAAAACCATTTTAATAAGTTTTATTTTTATTTAAACATGTGGAGTTTCAGACAACAGTATTCTCAACTCCAGTCTCTCCGCCAGTGATCCCAGGTTCCCTCTCACCCCAACCTGCCTCCTAGACAGACATGTTTTTGAGGTTTTTTTTTTTGTAGTTTGGGTCCCATTTTTTACAATAGTGTTGTAAAAGTAAAAGTAATTTTAATAGAACAATGTATTATTTTTCTTGAAAATGTGATGACATGTTTTCAAATTTTATCCACAGGATTTTTGTGAGCATGGGACAAAATCTGGGTTAAACCAGGGAGCCATTTCTACTCTTCAAAGTAGTGATATTCTTAATTTGACAAAAGAACAACCTCAGGCCAAAGCAGGCAATGGTCAGAATTCTTGTGGAGTAGAAGATGTTCTGCAGCTTCTACGTATTCTGTATATTGTAGCAAGTGACCCTTACTCAAGAATATCCCAAGAAGGTCAGTAAGAAATCTTACTTCGTTTTTATCATATTTTTAAAAGTAAGTCCATTTATATTTTTATTTATTTTGTTAATTTTACAGAAGGTGATGAACAGCTTCAGTTTACTTTTCCACCAGATGAATTCACTAGCAAAAAAATCACAACAAAAATTTTGCAGCAGATTGAGGTAATGAAATTAGATAGTTGAAATTATTTCCTGTCCTTTCTTCCTCTCATGATCTTTCCTTCCCTCAGATTTGTTGATTTGGGCCAATGATTCCTTTGCATTCATTTCGTTACTGACACTTAAGAACTGACATCTTTCTTTTCTTTTTTTATCCAAATAATTGTCTTACGACAATGTTACTGTGAATTTGCAGGAACCACTGGCACTAGCAAGTGGAGCTTTGCCAGATTGGTGTGAACAGTTAACCAGCAAGTGTCCTTTTCTCATACCATTTGAAACAAGACAGCTGTATTTCACATGTACAGCATTTGGTGCATCAAGGTAGGAAAAATAGAACCTTTTTTTATCTTTAAAGATGCATTTATGTTATATAAGCTCAAAGTATACTGATACGCTTTTATGTATCAAGATTGATGGGAGTATATTTCTTTAGAGTCCGCAAGTTTATTTCGGTGTGTAGGTTGGGTTCGGCCACACCCAGCGATGCTCAGAGGTTACCCCTGGGTTTTACACTCAGGAATCACTCCTGGTGGTACTTGGGGGAATCATATAGGATGCTGGGGATCGAACCTAGGTCATCTGGGTGCAAGGCAAAGCATCCTTCACGCTGTACTATAGCTCCAGTTCCATAACTACAAATCTAAACATTTACTTCCAGTGGGACATGTGCTCTGTTGCAATAATGTGAATTGAAGTACCATTTTCTAGCTGCTGACATTTGAAGTACTGTTCTTAAGTAGATTGCATAAACCATTTCTTGAAATTCCGAACAATATAAAAATTAAAATGTTTATAAATAGTTTTGATAGCATTGAAACACATCTTTCTTCTGGCTACCATTTTTCTCTTGCCACATGGAATAAGTTTCATGAAAGCATTAATTTCAGTATTTCTTTTGTACAGTTTCCAAAGTAGTGTATAACATTGTATAAGTGCTCAAGTAAACATTTGTTGAATGAATGAGGTTCCCTCGCTAGTACTCTTTCATAATAAATGTTAGCAAAGTATAGTTTTAAATCAAGCTGCTTATTTCGTTGGTGAGTTTCTCTTAGAAATTTTATATCATTTGCAAAGCATTTGTATATACCTTAAACCTATAGGCTTGTGATAATTGGTTGTTATTTTTGCTTCAAAATAATATTGGGAGATGAGCAATAGCACAGCAGGTAGGGCATTAGCCTTGCATGTGGCTGACCTGGGTTCAATTCCCAGCATCCCATATGGTCCTCTGAGCACTGCCAGGAGTAATTCCTGAGCGCAAAGCCAGGAGTAACCCTTGAGCATCACCAGGTGTGACCCAAAAAGCAAAAAAAAAACTGGGGTAGAGGTACATTGGGCTGTTCTGGCTGATTTTTTTTTCCCCTTGTTTTCTGGGCTCACCCAGGGGTGCTCAGGGCTTACGCCTGGCAGATTCTGGGGTGATTGAACCTGGGTATGCTGCATGCAACGCAAGCACCTTACCAGTTGTACTGTCTCTCTGGCACCTGGCTCTGCTTCTTTAAGTTCTGAGATAGTGTTCCTTAGATTTTTTTTTTAATTGTTTTTTAAATTTTTTAATTTTATTTTTAATAAAAAGATCTTTCCTCACTTTATAAATAAAGGTTTTTTTCTCCTTACCTATATGAGTCATCTCTGCATTTTTTTTTTTAAATAAAAACTGCTTAAGTCATAATAGTATCTGGAGCCTTACATGTGATTCAGTGTAGGCATTGGATTCATTTCCTCACATGCCACAGATCATAAAATCACTAAATGACTTTGCATTTATTGTCGTAATAATAAATTAACTAACATTTATTTTCAGTCTGTTCTCCACCTCTCCACTTTGTGGGGAGGCGGGATTTGAACCTAGGGCATCAATATGGGAGACATGCAGTCTTATCACTAAGTTAAATCCCAGCTCCTAGCTTAGCCAACTTTTTTTTTGTCATGCAAAGTTAGTCTATTTATGTATAACATGTGGTTTGACCCCCAGACCTTTTTTCTTTTGTCTGCTAATTGCTAAATTCTAATGTGAAATGCTAAATTCATTCTGCTAAAATGAAGAAAGGAAATAGAGAATAAATATGTTCTCAGTTTATTGAAGGAATATGAGAATAAGGAGGGGTGGCAGGGAGGTAATACAATGGTGGGACAAGTGGCCTTGCAAGTGGCCTATCTGGACTTGATCCCTCGCACCCTAATATGTCCCCTAGGCCTTACCAGGAGTGATCTCTAAGAAGTACAGAGCTAGGAATAAGCCCTGGGGTCTTCTTGGTGTGGTCAAAAAAAAAATCTTTAAAAATCTTTTTTTTTTTTTTTTTTTGGTCACACCTGACAATGCACAGGAGTTACTCCTGGCTCTGCACTCAGGAATTACTCCTGGTGGTACTCAGGGGGCCATATGGGATGCTGGGAATCGAACCCGGGTTGGCCGTGTGCAAGGCAAACGCCCTACCCGCTGTGCTATCACTCCAGCCTCTCATTAATTTTTTAGGATCAGGGAGATAGCATAATGGCTCTGAATGCATGCTTTGTACCTGGAGCTCCTTTGCACAATTAATCTCCAGTACCCCATGGTTCCCCGGGCATTTCTAATTATGCTACCCCCCCGCCCCATTTTGTGTTGCAACCACTGGCCATGCTGTGGGGTGGAGGGCATACAGTGCCAGCAACACAATAACTCTGGGTCTCATGCTTATTAGTTGTGTCCTCTTAACCACTGAAGCCTTGGCCCCTAAATAGTCTTAAATCTTTGAATTAAAATGCCAGTTTAATAGTATATTCAGTTGTTGTCTTGTGACTGCATAGATATTTTTTTGTTTCAGAGCAATAGTGTGGTTACAAAACCGACGTGAAGCCACTGTGGAAAGAACAAGAACCACAAGTAGTGTCAGGCGAGATGATCCTGGAGAGTTTCGAGTTGGTCGTCTCAAGCATGAAAGAGTAAAAGTTCCACGTGGTGAATCACTGATGGAGTGGGCTGAGAATGTCATGCAGATACATGCAGATCGGAAATCAGTTCTTGAGGTACTCTAATATTAGAGATTTTTTAGTGTGCAGAAATGTCAGGGAACCAATCATCTCTCAGTCTGTATCCTCATTTGCATAAAACTGCATTTGATAAAAGTGGGAAATTTCTCTACCCTACTTGCAAAGGCTTTCATAAGAGGATGCCCGCTCAGTTCCTCAGGTCAGGACTTCATAACTTAATAAGCAGCAGAGATAATATTTTCTCAAGGTAGAAAGGGGTTTGTTTGGTCTGTCTGAAGGATACTATCCATTTCTTAATAAAGCTTAACCTAAATAGTGGTGCTCATGGGTTGGGGGGAGGATATTTTTTTTTTGAAAGTTTAAATTTTACCTTTCTATTTATCTGTGTATTAGGTACCTGCATTCTTGGAACACACTGATTTTTAATTTTTTTCTTTTTAATTATTACTATTATTAAAGTTGTGCTTGTTGTTATAGCATTGATTTGACTGAGAGATGTTACTGCACATGACTATAGATATGTTTTTGTGAATATGTTGATTATATTCTACATACATGTTACTATATAAGGGACAGTTACAGTTTCTTACACAGGCAAGAAATTCTTTCCTTATACATGTGAATCAGTTGGTGGTGGAATGGCTTCCAAGCTGTATTCAGGTGCCGTTGGGGACCATCCCCGGGTAATATTCAGCCAAATGGTAGGCAGGACAGTCCTAGGGCTTGAGAATAGGTTGCTGTTTGGACTCTGTGGTATCAGAAACCATTGGGGTCACCTCGGCAGTGTTCAGGAGCCTCCTGTCTAGTGCTCAGTGATGCTCAGTAGCCCTCTGGTGCCAGGATTAAATGGGGGTTGAATGCATACATTGCATACACCCTAACCTATGCTATCTCCCTGCCCCCTGGTTTATTTGCCTTTAGGGTCACATAGTAAGCAATATAAATACTGATATATCTCTTGGAAGTAGACAGGAAGACTTTTACTACTAACCTTTTTCTTCCTCTTACTGTTCCTACCATATATTCTTGTAATTGAGATGATCTTCAATCATTATTCATGTTTAAACCTTACTCTTATATTCTTGAGAGCTGTTTCAGGTCATTTTTGGAACAAGTAGCATACTGTTTTTCGACTTCTTTATGCCTGTATGCCCCTGTCCTGCACACTGGTCCATGGGTCAGCAGTTATAACCAAAGCAGTAAGCCAGTGGTTTTCAACCTTTCTACACCTGTGGATCAGTTGTTGCAGACCACCAATGCAGAGAATCAGTAAAGCCCTTTAAAGTTATTCCCTGGGGCTGGAGTGGTAGCACAGCAGGTAGGGCGTTTGCCTTGCACATGGCCAACCCAGGTTCGATTCCCAGCATCCCATATGGTCCCTTGAGCACCGCCAGGAGTACTACCTGAGTGCATGAACCAGGAGTAACCTCTGTGCATCGCCAGGTGTGACCCAAAAAGCAAAAAAATATTAAAAAATTTAAAAAAAATAAAGTGATTTCCTAAAGCTTTGGGATAGGCCTTGAGATAGGACACTTGTCTTGCATTGTGTAGGCTCTGGGTTTTATCCCTGGCAAAAATGTTGGTTCTGACCCCCACATATATTTGAATAGCACTACACTGTAGCACTGTCCTCCCGTTGTTCATCCATTTGCTCGAGCGGGCCCAGTAATATTGTGAGACTTGTTACTGTGTTTGGCATATCAGATACATCACAGGTAGCTTGCCAGGCTTTGCCATGCGGATGAGATACTCTCGGTAGCCTTTCAGACTATCCGAGAGGGGCAGGAATTGAACTCAGGTCGGCCATGTTGGCTGTGTTCAAGGCAAACGCCCTACCCGCTGTGCTATCGCTCCAGCCCATGTATTTGAATATAATCTGATTATATATATGAGAGAGAGAGAGAGAGAGAGAGAGAGAGACCATTGGGTATACATGTGGTGTTGGGGAGGTCCTTGCATACTTACCCGTATGACACACACCTGTGGTTTAAAAGTGAAGAACCACGTTGCCTGAGCTGGGGTTTTTTTGTTTGTTTTTGTTTGGCAGGGCAGGGGAGGGTTGTGCATAGGTGGGTCTTAGGATTTGCTCCTGGCTCTGTGCTCACTTAGGGTGGAGCTTAGTGCCAGGGATCAAGGGAGATCTGTCACATGCAAAAGCAAGCACCTTAATCGCTGTACTGTCTCTCTGTCCTACCCCAAGAATTTGTAAACAAGCAACTCTATACAAGGGATACTTAAAAAAATAAATAAATAAGGGGTGGAGCAATGGTATTGTGAACAAGGCATTTGCCTTGTACACAGCTGACCCAGGTTCAATTCCCACCATCCTGTCTGGTTCCCTGAGCCTCCAGGAGTTAATCCTGAGTTCAGAGCCAGAAGTAAACCCTGAACATCACCAGGTGTGTCCCAAAACCAAAACAGACAAACCCTACAATAAAAGTTTTTAGGATTATTGTGAGAAACAAATTCATGTATAACCCATAGTATTTAGACAAGCAGTACACTAGAAATTCTTGTCTTGCTAGAAAAAAGGAATACAGCCTCTCTGCTATTTATACCGCTGGTACATAAAAGGTTTTGCATGATTGAATATGACAAATTTTAACAAGAATATTAAAATATTTTAAGCTGCTTTCCCCCCCTCCCTAAATACATTTGTTCATATTTCAGGTTGAATTTTTAGGAGAAGAAGGAACTGGCTTGGGACCCACTTTAGAGTTTTATGCTCTTGTGGCAGCAGAATTCCAAAGAACTGACTTGGGTGCTTGGCTTTGTGATGATAACTTTCCAGATGATGAATCTCGCCATGTAAGATTTATTTCCCAGTTTGTAATTTGATGTGATTTTGCTTTTAGAAATTGTTATTCTCTTCAGAACATAAACTAGATATTCAGACTTTTGAATAATCTGATATTTAAAAATAACTCTAAAGATAAAATTTAGTCACTGAAAACTAATAAAGTATGTAAATAGAAATTCTGAGCTGACTAAATTAATGGGAGTGTTTAGCAATATCTGTGTATGTTTTGTTTAACTATTTTCATCTCTCCCTCTTAAAAAATACAGGTGGATCTTGGAGGTGGATTGAAGCCTCCTGGATACTATGTACAGAGATCATGTGGACTGTTTACAGCACCTTTTCCACAAGATAGTGACGAGCTTGAAAGGATCACAAAACTCTTTCATTTCCTTGGAATTTTCTTGGCCAAATGCATTCAAGACAATAGACTTGTGGACTTACCCATTTCTAAACCTTTCTTTAAACTTATGTGTATGGGTGACATTAAAAGCAATATGAGTAAACTGATCTATGAATCACGAGGTGATAGAGACTTACACTGTACTGAGAGTCAGTCTGAAGCTTCTACAGAAGAAGGGCATGATTCACTCTCAGTAGGAAGCTTTGAAGAGGATTCAAAATCAGAATTTATTCTAGATCCTCCCAAACCAAAGCCTCCTGCTTGGTTTAATGGAATTTTAACTTGGGAAGACTTTGAACTCGTAAACCCACATAGAGCCAGATTTTTAAAAGAAATTAAAGACCTTGCTATCAAGAGGCGACAGATTTTAAGCAACAAAGGACTTTCTGAAGATGAGAAGAACACTAAATTACAGGAACTAGTGTTGAAGAACCCATCAGGTTCTGGGCCTCCACTTAGCATAGAGGATTTAGGGTAAGATTCATACGTACATTCTTCAACTTTCTTATCCATTGATGGGTAAACTCTATTTCTTTGTCCCACTGACTTGCAATATCTGAGCATATAGTATATAAGGAATAGTAATGGGATCTTTTTTCATTCCTTCATTCATCATCCTGTTATTCGTCGATTGCCTTGAGCAGGCCCCAGTAACGTCTCTTTCATCCTAGCCCTGAGATTATATTCAAGGCTCTTTAGGAGAATGAGACTCATCATTGTTACTGGTATTTGGCATATTTGGTACGCCACGGGGAGTTTGCCAGACTCTACCCTGTGGGCAGGCTACATTTGATAGCCTGCAAGTTTGTCCAAAGTAGGAATGAGATAATAAGATGTCATAAAAAGATGTCCTGATAAGATGTCCGGGAACTGGATTTTATAGTCTCTGAGTCTTGGCCGCTGATGGGATTACACGGCGCCAGGAGGCCAGGTGGTGGGTGTGACCCCCGCCTACTGGAATTTGGAGGATCTGGGTGGAGGATGCTCAACTCCAATCCGAGTAGGCTTGGAGATCTCGGCCCCGGAACCCGCGTGGCTTTGTCCCTCTGCCAGTACCTTCATGTGTGTGGAGAGTGATCTCGGCATGGTGGTGGCTGGTCCTGGGATCTAAGGAATTGATTATTGGGGCTAGAGAAATAGTCAGTGTATAGGAGATTTGCCTTGCATGCTGTCTACTTATTTGGATTCTATACCCAGCACCCTGAGCTCCCTTCAGGAGTGATCCCTGAGTACAGAGCCAGGAGTGAGCCCTGAGCACTGTGAAACGTAGTGCTTCCTCCCACACACACAAAATGAGAGAAATGGTGATTACTGATTTTTAAATCTTTGCTTTATTATTATGAATATAACTTTCCAAGTGGAACCAAAGATGATCTGTGGCTTATTAAATGTGATAAATGTATATTGAAATCTGGGGTCTGGGGATGTAGCCAGTTGGCAGAACACTATCTCATGTGTCTGATGCCTGTTTTTAATCCCCAGCACCAAAAAAGATAAATTCAAAATCAGAAATATTTTGACAAATTTATTAGCTAATCAATGCATATAGCTCACTTGATAATACTTAAAGCTGTTTGTATTTAAGCCTTATCCCCAGTGATTGCATTGATTAATTCAGGCACTGCAGGCTTTCAGAAATTCCTTTAGTTTGTGTTGCTTGCATGTATTTGTTATGTATATGTACGCAAACAAATACCTTGATATATTTCAGACTAACCTCATGTTGACTGCGAGGCTAGTTTAACCTCCTTCACTCACTTCTTCTCTCCCTTCTGTTAATAGTGTTAAGAATTTGTTCGACGAGGGGGAATAGTTTTAAGAATTTGTTTTGCGAGGGGGCTGGAGTGATAGCACAGCAGGTAGGGCGTTTGCCTTGCACAAGACCAACCTGGATTCTATTCCCAGCATCCCATATGGTCCCCTGAGCACCTCCAGGGGTAATTCCTGAGTGCAGAGCCAGAAGTAACCCCTTGGCATTGCTGGGTGTGACCCAAAAAGCGAGAAAAAAAAATTTGTTCGATGAATTGCTCTATAATCAAGGTTTGACGGAGAGGCAACACAGTCAGTATGTGAATAATTATATTCATTAATTTTATGTGTATATTTAAGGCAGAAGTAAAATATGGAATGGTGACATCACACAGTCTTTGCAGCGTCGGGTTTGGTAACTGTTAGCCTAATAGTTTTTGTTCAAGAAGGATTATTTTAACATTTAGTCTTTTCATGGAGTTTTGTTTTTACAAAATTGAGCTGGTGAGCCAGAGAGATAATGCTGCATACAGCCAGCCTGGTTTCGATCGCTGGCATCCCATACAGTCCCCAGAGCCCACCAGGAGTGATTGCTCAGTGTACTTCGCATGCAAAAAAGAATTGGGCTAGAGAGATAGTACAGTGGGTAAGACCTTTGCCTTATAAGCGGCAAATACCTGGCACTTCATATGGTTTCCTAAGCCCCACCAGGAGCTTGAGCTCCTCCTGAGCTCATAGCTAGGAGTAACCCCTGAGTACTGCCGGGTGTGGCACCAAGAACAAAAATGTTAATAGTAATAATAATCTTGTCATAGAGGGTCAGTTTTATGCTTTTGACAGTGGTGTAATAAATTTATCACTAAAAGCAACTGAATATTGATCTAATTGGTTTTCTGTCCTCCTAGTTTAAATTTCCAGTTTTGCCCTTCCTCAAGAATATATGGTTTTACAGCAGTGGATCTTAAACCAAGTGGTGAAGATGAGGTAAAAATTTAGCTTTTAATATGGTTGTTTAAATTCAGAAATATCCTTTTAATGAGTCTAATTGTATTCCAGGGACTCTTGAATTCTTAGCAATAAGTTTGTTGACAATTTTTCTGCAGATGATAACAATGGATAATGCAGAAGAATATGTGGATTTGATGTTTGACTTTTGTATGCATACGGGTATTCAGAAACAAATGGAAGCTTTTAGAGGTAATTTCTGTTTTTCTCTTCGGGCCACCTGTGGTGGTAGACAGGGGCTATTTTTACTCTGTGCTAGGAAGTTGCTTCTGGTGGTTCTTAGGGGACCATGTGGATGCTGGGGTTAAAACCCTGGGCCTCCTCCGTCCAAAGCATATGTTCAGCTTGTTGAATTATCTCTGGTCCCAAGAGATAAGATAAAAATTTTAAGGAATCTTTTTTTAACTAAATCATTGTCTTTTTGAAATAGTTTACATTTGGGTACTGCTAGAGTCAGTAGATTTGTGGATACTTAGGTTTGCCTTCCAGTTTTTTGTCTTCCAGGCAGATCCTGTTGAGTATCCATAGCAGATCAGTACAGTCGCAAACTGCACCCCTAGTCTTAATTAGCATGTTCCTTCTGGGTAACTCACTTCTGTAAGTGAACATAAGACTGTATGTTTTCAGAGTCAGAATTACTAAGTCGTAGGTGAAGGTGGAGGCAAAACTTGATAGACTGTCACTAGTAATTTTAAGAGAGAACATAGTTTTGGCTAGCTTGTCCAGACAACACAGAAAGATGACTGGGTAATTGTGGGACTTTGGCTACTAACAATAGTAATTGAGTATGATGTCTGATCACACTTGTGACATTAGGCAGAGATTATGTACCTTAAAAGACCCTAGCATACTGGGGCCAGAGAAATAAGAAAGGGGGCAAGACACTTGCCTTGCACACAACTAGCCCTGATTCAATCCCAATACATATCTTCCTCTCAGCACTCAGGATGTAGCCCAACCACCCCACACATTCACCCAAAAAAATCGTAGCAGAGGGCTGGTTATAGTAAAGGGGCTTAAGGTGCTTATTTTACATGTAGCTAATCATGGTTTAATTGCTGCCACCAATATGGACGCCCCTGAGCAATTCAAAGAGTGACCTCCCCCAGAACATAAGGCCAGGAGTAACCCCTGTACAATTTTGGATATGTCCACCCACACCCAAAACAAACCAAAAAAACCTAGCAAAGTAACATCCGTTAATATTTTATTCATTTTCTGTCTAATTGCTATTGGGTATTTTACCTTGAAATTAATAACTTTGGAAACTAAGTTTAATTTTTTTTCTTTGTAACGTAATGTAGATGGGTTCAATAAAGTTTTTCCAATGGAGAAATTAAGTTCCTTCAGCCATGAAGAAGTCCAAATGATTCTTTGTGGAAATCAGTCACCATCGTGGGCAGCAGAGGATATTATCAATTACACTGAACCCAAGTTGGGTTATACTCGTGACAGGTATGTGTTGGTATTTTTTTTAGATAACTAAATTGTTTATATCCCCAGCTCAATAGCAGGTTCTCTTAAGAACTCTTGGGGCTCGGGGGAGGAGAGGTTTCGGCAACACCCAGTGGTGCTTGGGGGGGTCACTCCTACTGATGTTTTGGGGTCTAAACTTGGGGCTCCAACATACAAGGCATGTGCTCGGCCTATTGAGTTATCTATCCAGCCCGTATGTCCCTAATATTTTGTCCCTATATCATTTCTGTTTTAGTTATTGCCATTTATAAGTACAAAATCATCTTTAGAGGATTTTTTTTAAATAGCTTTATCAGCTCTTTTCCTGATTAGCTCATTTCCTGATTACTCAACAGTACTGGTTTTCTGTCATATGGTTGTTGGCTTATTTTAATTGGTACTAGCTTCTAAAGTTGTGATTGTCATTTTCATTTAAATCAGATACTCTGGGGGCTGTAGCAGTATTATGTGGGAAGATGCTAGCCTTCATGTGACCAACCTCGTTTCTATCTCCTGCACCACATCTGGTCAGGAGTGATCTCTGAGCAAGACTCAGCCTGGAGCACCATCACTTACTGTCCTAAAACCAAAAAAATCAGATATTAAATCATAGTAACTGTGTTTCTTCTTTTAGCCCTGGTTTCCTGAGGTTCGTGAGGGTTTTATGTGGCATGTCCTCAGATGAAAGGAAAGCATTCCTGCAGTTTACCACTGGTTGCTCAACTCTGCCCCCAGGTGGACTGGCCAACCTACACCCTAGGCTCACCGTTGTACGCAAGGTATAGACTCTTAGCTGGTGGGGAATATGGTTGTTTTGGAGTAGAAAGAAATTTGTTTTTCATATATTCACTTCTCTGTGTAGGTTGACGCCACTGATGCCAGCTACCCATCAGTGAATACGTGTGTGCATTATCTCAAGTTGCCTGAGTATTCGTCTGAGGAGATAATGAGAGAGCGCCTTTTAGCTGCTACGATGGAGAAAGGGTTTCATCTCAATTGAGTTTTGACGTGCAATGAGAGAGACATCACAGACTTTTAAATTCTAGTGAAGCCTCTTGTGTTTGTGTGCAGAGAAGTACATGATTCTCCACGCTAATGACACCTGCCTTTTTTTCCACCATTAAGGCTTTAAGAACATGTGGAGTAAGTTTGTTAGCTGCTAATGACAAAACAAAACCCTTTAACTACCCAGCCAGCAAGTATATAGCACAGAACACTATGTGTTGCTACAAGGGCTTATGTGACTGGAATAAGGTGGTCCTACTTGACTGTTCCAAAGAGCAGCTTCTCAGATCTTCAGTGTTCACTGGTAAATTTCTAACAGTGCATTTGTGTAAAGTTTGTCATTTCATACTTCATACACTACAGTTGCCATCACTGATCCCTGTTTTGCTGGCTTTTAAGCTACTTGGTCAAAAAAATCCTACTTCCTTAAAACATAGTTAATGAGCATCTCAAGCTTTTTCTTTTCCTTTTTATTGATGCCTGCACTATCAGAGTATTCTAGTGTTCTCTTTTGTTTGGAATATAATCATGCACAACCTTTTTATTTCTTTGAGGTGGGAGTATATTTTTATTTCCTAAATGCCATACTATAAAGATCAAATTCTTAAGTGTGTTTGTGCAGCTCAAAAATAAAGATATATTGGGGGGAGGGGAACACTGGTCTAGGTGCAAGGCACACTTAAAGCAAGTTTTACTTTTGGTTGTATTTTCTTTGTATATTATAAACATTTATTTAACTTGTTGCAGTTTGAAGTAAAAAATTTCCAAAATGTATGCTCAACAATAATCATTAAAATGTTTGCAGCGTACAAAACTGTGTCATGTGACTATTTCACTGCAATCACTAGGCCTAATAGCCAGTCTTCATTTTGAGTTATTGAGACTTGGTATTTTGTAATTACAACGTGAAGAAACATATTTTTCTATAGTAAATATACTTATTATATGTATATAAGACTAGGGAAATATATGTTTACATGTTTGTGATCAAACTGCTGTTTTCATTTTCAGAGTTTTCAAGTAAAATGGCCATTTTATTTCTATTAGCTTTTTTTAACATCAAGTCTGCTACTGAACATTTATCTGCAAGAATGTTTAAGCCTATATTCCAAGAATGATTTTTGAATTTTGTACTAGTGTTTAAGAAACTTCAGGATAGTGATATTTCTTGAAGGCACTCTACTCCCGTTTTCCAAGTTCCCATTTGTTCACAACTATGTGTACAGATGAAAGAAATGTTACATGTTTCAAGGCCTGATTTAGCCAAGTAATTTTTTTTTCTTTTTGGGTCACACCCAGCTATGTTCAGGGGTTATTCCCTGCTCTGCACTCAGGAATTACTCCTGGCGGTGTTGGGGGGAACAATATGGGATGCCCGGAATCAAACCCGGATCTGCTGCATGCAAGACAAACACCCTACCCGCTGTACTATTGCTGTGTCCCCCCCTCAATACTTTTTTTAGTGATAAAAGCATTGTTGAAATTGCCCATTATTTTCCTGTTTAAGGGTATGTACCCTTTGTACGTCAAAAAGATTGTCTTCCACTTGAGTATTTGAACACTTTTTATTCTCTGTATGAGAACATTGTGATTATGCTGAGGCAGCATTGAAACAGTTTTTCTTGCTCAGTTCTCTTTGAGAATAAAAATTAAGTGTAGCATCAGTATTTAAAAATTTTTAAATACTATGCTTTAATACGATGTCAGTGGTGGCAATTGTCTCAGTTTCATGTATGCATGGCCAAAACGCTACAATAGTGTTAGAGTTAAAGTCCAGGTTATGAGCACTAGCCAACTTTTCACCCAGACTAGTCTAGCTGTGAGGTCAGCCTACTCAGACTAGGGTCTCACCATTTTACGAACAATAAGCAAAACATACTTTAAAATTTTTCAAATGATTGATTTTAAAAAACTTCATGATGTGAAATTACATGGAATTCAGATTTCAGTATCTATAAATCTTTATTAGAATGAGCCATGTTTACTCATTGATGTTTCCTATGACTGTTTTAGTTCTACAGTGGTTAAAACTTAATGATTACAGCAAAGACACTACTGTTAGCCCACAAGCCCAAGATAACTTCCTATATAGCCAGAAACAGTTTGCCGAATCATGGTCTAGTAGTTTTGCCTCAATAGGTGAAATTGATGAGTGTTATAAAAAGAAAAACACCAGTAACTTCTTGAAATGTCAGGAATTTTCCTGAAGGATGAAAGATCAAGGACAAGGTAAAGCTGACCAATCTGAGACTGGAACTACTTTAACAGTAAACCTGAAGTGAGATGTGTATCCAGAGAACAGTCAAAATAGTTCACTTGTATGAGTCAAGTGTTCCATGAAACCATAAGATCTACTTAATACTATAGGTTTCAAATATTTCTCCCCTATAGTTTTCTACCTAGTATTTTTTTTTTTTGGTTATTCTCTAAAGGTATTAAAATCTGTGCCAAGATGTTATTCCAGTGCTATTTTGGTGTGACCCCAATATTAATTTTATTCACTCCCTTGTTACTTCTGGTGTACCAGTTTCAGCAGCTACCTGAATGTGCTACTGATTAAGTGCCTACCAACTAGGACAGTGTTTCCCAACTGAACTGTCTCATAAAGACCTCCAAAGTACTTTGATCAAGGTTGGGCTTTCCCCAGACCCAGGCTACCCACTGCAAGGATGCATCTATAATCTACATAAACAGATCACTCTGAGTAAGTCAGAAGTATTTCCCCTGCCCTCCTGAATTAATTCAAAACAACTTAAATTTTGATTCCAGTGACCATCTGGGTCTTTATAAATGTAGACTTTGAACTGTGTTAAGTATATTTTTAGAAAGGATAAAGAACTAGACAGTTCATGTAGTATCAAATGAACTGTTGGTGTTCATGTCCGCTTTAGTCTTTTTTAAGACCACATAATGTAGTAGATGAATGAACTCTTGGAATTTTGTATGAATGCACAATGTGCCAGTATTTGAAGAACTGTATTATATTTTTCTCCAGTGCCTAGAATAATTCTGTGTTTTAAGTGACTGAGGAGTATATAGAAACACTTTAGGGGCTGGAGAGATAGTATAGGGAACTCTAGCCTTGGTTGCAGTTGGGCCCATATGGTCCCCCAAGCCCTAGTAGAAGTGACTTTTGAGTGCAGAGCCAGGAGTAAGCCCTGAGTATAGTCCCAAACCAAAAAAAGTTTTAAAAACCTGGTTCCATTAGCACCTCCAACATATGTGTGGACCCTGATTTTTCTACTTACTTTTTAATAGAAAAAATTTAAAATGAAATATAAATTAACTATAAAAATTCTCTTAATGCATAAATATTTTAAATTATTCTCTGTAGAGCTAATTATATGATAGCCTTATAACTGCTCAGTGGTCACAGAATGACAGGCATTTCAAAGTTGCAAGTAAAACTCAAAATTCTGCAATTTTAAATACATAAGACAGTAGACCTTTCACTTTGTAAGGGAAAATGTATCATTTAGAAAATACTGTTAAAAGTGCCAAATATGTTGGGGGGTATGGTACCACCAGCAGGTCAATCTGTACCTGTGAGGCGAGTGCATCAGCAGCCTGATGGCACCTTCAGACTTCCAGGTACCCCAAAATTGCTGCTGTGCCTTTCGCCAGACCCCAAAAACTTCAGGCAAAGTGTACCAAGAAAGTAAACGACTTAAAAGTTAGGTATATGGAAGACACACACACAAACCACTTCCAGCTCAGCTATAATTGGAGACAAGGCCTCTCTGGTTCCTGATTGAACTGCTTAATGACCATGATCCCAGAGACTCGGAAACAAATCTCGAAACCCAGCAGCTTTTGGCAGAAATGCATCCAGTCACTGCAGTAGGTTATAGGCGCCGAGCCACCCAAGGTGGGAATAGCTTTCATGCCTTGGCCTGTTCCTCCTGGTGGCCTAGTGGCTGCCATCCTCCAGAGGCCATGGACAGTCAGATTTGGGCCCACAGTGACGAGACACACAGGGCCTCACGGGATGGGTGTGGAGCCGGCCCTATCCCTCCCACCTTAACAAGACCCCAAGTTGCTGCGAACGAATGGCCTCTCTGGCTCCTGATTAAGCTGAGAAACAAACCTCGGAATCCAGTGGCTTTTGGAGAAATGCATCCAGTCCCAGCAGTAGGTTACTGGTGCTGGGCTACCCCAGGTGGGAATAGGTTTCGTGCCTTGGCTTGTTCCCCCTAGCGGCCTGGTGGCCGCCATCCTCCAGAGGCCACTGCAGAGTCAGGTTTGGTTCCGCAGTAATGAGACATGCGAGGCCTCACGGGATGGGGGTGGAGCCGGCCCTTTCTTCCTTGTCCCAGCGAGACCCCGAGTCACCATCCACAAATGGCCTCTGTGGCTCCTGATCAAGCTGCTTAATGACCATGATCCCAGAGGCTGAGAAACAAACCTCAGAATCCAGTGGCTTTTGGCAGAAATGCATCCAGTCCCAGCAGTAGGTTACTGGCGCTGGGCTACCCCAGGTGGGAATAGGTTTCGTGCCTTGGCCTGTTCCTCCTAGCGGCCTGGTGGCCAACATCCTCCAGAGGCCACTGCAGAGTCAGGTTTGGTTCTGAGTGACGAGACACGCAGGGCCTCATGGGGTGGGGGTGGAGCCAGCCCTTTCCTCCTCGTCCCAATGAGACCCCGAGTCACCATCCACAAATGGCCTCTTTGGCTCCTGATTAAGCTGCTTAACGACCATGATTCCAGAGACTCAGAAACAAATCTGGGAACCCAGTGGCTTTTGGCAGAAAAGTGTCCGGACCCCACAGTAGGTTACTGTCACAGGGCCACCCCAGGGGGGAAAGGGTGCTGTCCCTCCACCTGCTCCCCCTTGGTGGCTCGTTGGCCGTCATCTGCCAGAGGCCACTGGACAGTCAGGTTTGGGCCCACAGTGACAAGACACGTGGGGCCTCATGGGATGAGGGTGGAGTCAGCCTTTTCCTCCCCATCCCAACAAGACCCCTGAGTCGCCTCGCCGTTCAGGAACAGCCTCTCTGGCTCCTGATCAAGCTGCTTAATGGCCACAATCCCAGAGACTCAGAAACAAATCTCAGGACCCAGTGGCTTTTGGCAGAAATGCGTCCGGACCCGATAGTAGGTTACTGTCGCCGGGCCATTCCAGGGGCGAAAGGATGCTGTCCCTCCGCCTGCTCGCCCTTGGCAGCTCAGTGGCTGACATCCTCCAGAGGCCATTGGACAATCAGGTTTGGGCCCTCAGTGATGAGACACAGGGCCTCATGGGATGAGGGCAGAGCCGGCCCTTTTCTTTCCGTCCCAATGAGACCCCGAGTCGCCGCCCATGAACGGCCTTTCTGCCTCCTGATCAAGCTGCTTAACGGCCATAATCCAAGAGACTCAAGAACAAATCTTGGAACCCAGCAGGTTTTGGCAGAAATCCCTCCAGATTTGTTAAAATTTCAGAATTTCAAAATCACGTGGCCACTACTGCAGCCACATGTCATGTTATTCATAACCAGCAATAGAAAACAAATTGTCTACTGTTGCCTTTTTTTCAGCAGATCTGAGTGTTGGGGTAAAATCCCAAATAATGGTGGGTCTGTTGTCAAAACATTGAATGTAATCAAAGTAGAGAGAGAGGAATGTGGAAATCATCTGCCCCACAGGTAGGGGGAGAGTGTGGGATGGGAGTATACTGGGGTTTTTGGGTGTGGAAAATGGGCACTGATGAAGGTATGGGTGTTTCATTGTGTGACTGAGACACAAACCCGAAAGCTTTGTAACTGCTCTCAATGGTGATTCAATAAATAAAAAATTATAAAAAATGGAAAAAAAAAGTAAGGTGGAGTTCATGCCCAATTCAATCAGCTAAACAGTGGCTGAATAAATAGCAGTACTCCTGCATTAAAAAAAAGTGCCATATACGTTGAAGTCAGTTTTTAAATTTTTATTGTGTGTGATAGAACTACACATTTATTTTCTTACCCAGGCTACTTCTCTTGAACTTAAATCCACAAAGGAAAAGAGTCCTCCAAAATTCCTCAAAATTCAATAAAATATAAACAAGCAGGGGGCAAAAGCTTATAGTTAGAAAATACAACTTCTGGGGCTGGAGCAATAGCACAGCGGGTAGGGCGTTTGCCTTGCACGCGGCCAACCCGGGTTTGACTCTCAGCATCCCATACGGTCCTCTGGGCACCACTAGGGGTGATTCCTGAGTGCAGAGCCAGGTGTAACTCCTGTGCATTGCTGGATGTGACCCCAAAAGCAAATTATATATATATATATATATATATATATATATATATAATACAACTTCTGAGTTTAGAAAAAAAATTTTCTTTGGACAACATATTTGTAAATGTTTTATTTTTCATTTAGGAATTGGGAAGAACACCTATGTAACTTGACTTCAGACAGATACTCTTTATTTTGCAGTATGTGATCCTCCAGATTCTTCTGGGTTAAGTAAGACATGAGAGGTATTCCATGGTGTTTCCACTTCTCCTGTAGGTCATTGTTTGGTAGAGCCTTTTATTTTCAACTTTCTGACATCTTATCAAGAATCAGTAGAGGAGCAAGAATTCTTGCCCGATTAGTTTCCACAATGCAGCCATTTAACACCATCTCATCCAAAATGATATGTACTTTGTCTAAATTAAACATTATCTAGGTTCACATTAAGGAAAATTCAAATTTATAAGATGTTGTTATCATTCAGTAAGATACTTGACTTTGTCTAGAATTTTTCCATTAGAAGGGTTGGGGGGGGTTGCTTTTTGGGTCACACTCAGCAATGCTCAGGGGTTACTCCTGGCCCTGCATTCAGAAATTACTTCTGGCGGTGCTCAGGGGACCATATGGGATATTGGATCAGCTGTGTGCAAGGCAAATGCCCTACCCACCATCGCTCCGCCCCCCCCACCCCCAGTGTAATGTTTAGCGTACGATTTTTTTTCCCACACACTTAGTTTACTTTTGTTAAGGTGACTGGGCAATGTGCACAAAAGTGGAGCAGCTGGAAGAAGGGAATCCTGTGAAGAGGTGGAGACAAAAAACAGGTTAATAACTGACTTAAGTATGACTGGACTTCACGAATAATGTCTCCCAGATAATAGAATAGTGGAGCCAGAGCGATAGTATAGAGGTAAGATGCTTGCCTTGCACATGGCAGACTAGGTTCAATCATTGGCACCACATAAGTCCACTGAGCCCCAACAAGAGTGATCACAGATGGGTGCGGCCCATAAACCATCCTCCCCCCCCCCCCAAAAAGGATAATAGAATAGTTATGGGAACAACTGACTTCAGAATCTTTCAGGTACTGCATTGAATGTTTTACATTTATGTTTCAGTCTCTCTACAGCTCCCATATACATACTAATTTTTATTTTATTTATTCATTTATTTTGCTTTATGGGTCACACTCGGCAATGCATAGGGGTTGCTCCTGGCTCTGCACTCAGAAATTACTCTTGGCAGTGCTCAGGGAACCATATGGGATGCTGGGAATTGTACCCGGGTTGGCCGCGTGCAAGGCCCTACCCGCTGTGCAATCACTCCAGTCCCTCCCATATACAAATTATAGGAGCAAGAATTCTTGCCTGATTAGTTTCCGCAGGGCAGTCATTTCATGCCATCTCATCCAAAATGATAAGTAAGTGTTGTCATCTAATTAACAGGCTCAAAGCCGTATCTGATGTGACAAGTAGTAACTGCCACGAGTTGTGTGGGTGTCCTGCTCTCATCCTTCTTCCAGAGGTGCCTGAGGCTATTGCGGCCACACCCACCTTTACCTTCAAACCTCTCCCAATCAGATGCCTTTATAACCTTGTACTTTAAGTAAATCTCCAGACAAGCCTAAGAATAACCATAAGGAGAAATAATGGAGAAGGCATGCTGACTCAATTTCAAACATAACTCCTGAATTTATAAATGGATAGCTCTTAAAATACTCATTTGCAAATTAAGGATCCAATTTAAGAACTGACATTGGTGGGCCGGGAAACAGGTGTGAGTGCTCCGCATTTGGGAGGCCCACGCTCCATCCCTAGCACTGCATGGTCCCCCAGCACTGAACTGGGAGTAATCCAAACACCAGAAAAAGAAAGAAAAAATTAAAAAAAAAAACAAAACTGATACTCTTATGGCCAGGCATATAGCTCAGTGGTATAGCACTTGGCCTGGCATTTATGAATTCCGTTCCTAACACTACAAAAATAAAACACCAAGTTAAATGGTCTGAGAGAAGAAAATATTGTTAGGTTGCAATGTCCAGCTAGGCAGTCTAGTCAAAATCTCCCCAGAACCCTTAAAGTTGCATCCTTTTATGAAGATAGAAGGAGAGCTGAAAGTGGTTCAAATGCTTATGAATTCTACATTTTAATACCTTGAGATTCCAAATCTATTTAAAGGGTACAATCATGGGTCTGCTGGAAGAACAACAGCAGCTATGGCACTCAGGGGCTCTCAGAAGCAGGAATGCATGCTGCCTCCCAGCACTGCTCAGGGACAGGTACTGCTGGTAGACCCAGAGCCTGCTGAGCACTGTCTGGGAGAACCTACCTCCTCTCTCTGCCAAAACCCATACAGCTAGACCTTTTCCAGTAACCATTAAACAAGTGATTAAACAAGGGAGTTTATAACAGTGAATCTTTGTGAATTGTTAGCACCTTACATTTTATCAACTCCAGACGTTCAAGCCTGTACTGTGTTTGCTTTAGTGAAGTACATATATTGAGAATGAGTCAATACAGCAAATGACTTTTAAATTTCTATTAGGCTTTGTGTTAGTACCTCATTAAGCTCTGAGCAAATAGTCCTTCATCAGAATAAACTGTTTTATAGGAGCCCAGGGGAACTGTCCTTATGTGGCCCAGAAAACAAAAAAAAAAATCTTGACTCTGATATATCTATTAATGTCTTCCAATTATATAGATGATTGCTTTGAACATAGCCAAATAGGAGCTGGACTAGCAGGTCCTTGACTCAGTCCTGCCCACCAGACCCAGAAACCAGAACAGAGGGGATGAAGACTTCCTACAGGGGATTCGAGGAAAAACCACCTGCACAATCCTCTGTTCTATTCACTAAGGTCAATGAAGGAAAAGCTGAATGCCTTTTGAAAATGACAGCCAAGATGGTTTGGTTTTGGGGACACAACTTGCTGTTGGGTACTATATGGGATGCCGGGGATCCAACCTGATTGGGTTAGGTGCATACGAGGCAAGTGCCCTACCCGCTGTACTCTCTCTCTCTCTCTCTCTCTCTCTCTCTCTCTCTCTCTCTCTGGCCCCCAAGATGATTTCTTTTAAGATATTTGGGAACATCATTTTTTTTTTGGCTTTTTGGGTCACACCCGGCGATGTTCAGGGGTTACTTCTGGCTCATGGACTCAGGAATTACTCCTGGCGGTGCTCGGGGGACCACATGGGATGCTGGGAATCGAATCTGTGTCGGCCATGTTGGCTGCGTGCAAGGCAAACGCCCTACCCGCTGTGCTATCGCTCCAGCCCCAGGAACATCATTTTAATCTATTCGATTCTAAATGGTTCTAACAACTCCAAACAGACAGTCTTTAGCTAGTAGTAGATGATCTGCAAGTCAGATGTTATCTTGAGCAAGTGCTCAGTTTAGAAATTCACATTTCTAAACCAAATTCATCAACCTCTAATAGCTTCACATAGCAAGAACAAGGCCCTTTAGCTAAAGTCTGAATTTCCCAGAATCTTGGAAACAGGATTTGCTCAATCAGGTCCTTCTTTATTATTTAAACATGACTGCTCGTCTGTCTGGGTATCTGGTTCAAACCCTTAATATTCATGTAGTTTGCTGGCACTATACAGGGAAACCACCAAATTCAGCACGAGGCAAATGCCTGGATGGTGATTTCCTTCCAGAATCATGTGATGCCTTTAAAATAAGAATCCAGTTGTTCATATCTTGATTTGGTTTATGACTAACTAGTGAAGCCAAGAGGAATGGCATGCAGGCTCTATGCCAAGTGAGTAAGGACCAAAAAATACCCCATATGATAAGCCCCATGGCAAGAGACAAACACTTCAACCCCAACATTTGGATGCTAGGAAGTAAAAGGCCTAGGCGGTTGGTTGTCTAGTGTATGGAGAGTGACTATTCCTTTTGGGGTCACACACGGGGATATTCAAGGCTTAATCTTGGCTCAGTGCTCAAAGATCATTCCTTATGAGGCTTGGAGCCATATGTAGTGCAGTGCCAGGAATCAAAGGGGTTGAAGCAAGGGGTATAAGCAAGGAAGCACCTTAACCTCTGTACTTTCTTTCTGGCCCCTGAGTTAAAGATTCATAAAACAATTTGTTTCCCCATGGTAGAAGCTGGGTGATCCACAGTCTCCCAAAGAGCAGGTGTGTTAAAAGCTCCACATTCTCCCACCCTAAAACCCAAGAGCTTTCCTGAGTTTCTATGCAGAGTGGACCAGACTTGAACATCATAGGGCCCCAATAATGCTAGCACCATTAGAAATATGCTAATAAATTCAAACAGCACCCCTAAAGCAACCCCAGGGTAGAATCCAGCCTTGAAGTTAAAATTTCCAACACTTATTTTTAGTCTCTAGATCCCCTTTCTGGGGCCAGAGAGAGCGCTCAAGAGGCCAAGTACATGCTTTTTACAGCACAGAAGGGCAGGGTTTAATTTCCAGCACTGCATGGTAACCTGAGTGACACCCTGAGCACAGAACTGGGAGTAGATCCTGCTACTGCAGGGTGTGACATAAAAACCAAAAAAGTAGATTGCTCATCTTGATTTCTGTTCTTTTAAAGGTCCTTACTTGATCGGAGAGTGCTCAAAGGGCTGAGTGTGTGCTCTGCATTCAGAATGTGGAGGTTCACACCCCACGCACCAAACTGGTAGTACCTTCTGTGCAGTACCAAGTGAAGCCCCAAAACAAAAAGATTTTAGCTAACTCCAAAAGGTCTTGTAATCTGTCACCTACACAAAACCAATACTAACACTCTCTACGAAAAGAAACACCTTTTGGGGGGCCAGGGAGACAGGGCAAAGGGCTGGAATGCAGCTTTGCATGCTGGAGGCCTGGGTTCCAACCTTCACACCACATAGCCCCTTGATCATCGCACAGAGTAGCCCCTAAACAAGACAGATGTATCCCCCCTCCCCCACAAACCTCTGGGGCCAGAAAGAGTTCAGAAGGTAAGAGTCCAGAAGCTAATCCCAGTTAGCGCCCCACCACCATGTCTGGTCCCCCAAGCACTGCAAAGCACTGAACACAAAGCCAGAGACAAAAAGGCCCAAAAAACACCACCCACTCCCCTCAAAAAAAAAAATCCCATATCTCTCTGGTAAAAAGAGAAAAAAATTTATACATGACCTTTATGATGATTATATTTATGTTCATCACAGAGTTGAATATATCTTGCTATTAAACACTGGTTTGTTTCTGTAGGTATCTTAGAAAATAGCAAATACTTCTGATGAAAGCATGATAGTTTAAATGTGTATGTGTCCACTGGAAAAAAAACCCTAGTTAATTTTTTTTTAATACACACTGAACAGGAGATTCTATCCGTGACGTATTCAATATGCCAAGCACAGTAATAACAAGTCTCATGATGGAGACGTTACTGGGCCCGCTTGAACAAATTGATGAACAATGGGAGGATGTGACTGACTGT